GTAAAAACACTGATCCTGAACAAGAATAAGGATTATAAAAACTGCATCAGAATGTTTGTTAGTCCCAGGAGAGTCAGAAAATGCCATTTTTTGCAGCTATGTGCCACTTGCTTCATACTGTGTCTCATGATTTTTTGGATACCGTTTGATAATCAAATTGTGAGCCATATGAAGTCCTATTCCTACAGATACCTCATAAATAGCTACCATTTTGTGAATGACAGCCTGTCTATCAGCAGGGATAACCTGAACAGGGTATCAAGCTACCAGTACTTGATCAACCACAGAGAGAAATGTCAGCAGCAGGATGTCCTTCTCCTACTGTTTGTGAAGTCTTCTCCTGAAAACCGTTATCGAAGGGATGCAATCAGACAGACTTGGGGTGATGAGAAGTATGTTCGTTCTCAACTCAATGCCAACATTAAAACCCTTTTTGCTTTAGGACGCCCAACACACCATGAGCAGAAAACACAGCAGCAAAGAGAACTTGAGCTCGAAGACCAGAAATACCAGGATTTGATTCAGCAAGACTTCTTGGATACTTTTCACAATCTCACTCTTAAATTGCTTTTGCAGTTTAGCTGGGTGAAGGCCTACTGTCGTCATGCCAGGTTCATTATGTCTGCAGATGATGACATATTTATCCATATGCCAAATCTCATTGCTTATCTCCAAAGCCTCACGCAAATGGGTGCTCAAGATCTCTGGATTGGTCGTGTCCATCGTGGATCCCCTCCCATAAGAGACAGGAGGAGCAAATACTATGTTCCATATGAAATGTACCAGTGGCCCTCTTACCCTGACTACACAGCAGGAGCTGCATATGTAATATCAAATGATGTAGCAGCTAGAGTCTATGAGGCTTCATTGACTCTGAATACAAGTCTTTATATAGATGATGTTTTCATGGGTCTCTGTGCCAATAAAGTGGGAATTGTACCACAATATCATGTATTTTTTTCTGGGGAAGGAAAAGCTCCATATCATCCCTGCATTTATAACAAGATGATGACATCTCATGGACACGTAGATGATCTTCGCCAGCTCTGGAAGCAGGCTACAGATCCCAAAGTTAAAGAGATTACTTCAGGGATTTGGGGTAGAATGTACTGCAGACTGGTCAATATTGTGCTTCTCTGTAAACTGTACTATGTGGACACGTATCCTTGTTCAGCTGCGTTTTCTTAATACTTGAATATCTGCATTGAAGATCCACTGAGCCAAGACAGAGCAACAACATTTTAGGTGTTTATCCAAAATGTATGTAAACATGGAAAGAGGTAAAATTTACACGTGAATACTTGGGGTGGGCAGAGGGAGAGGAAGAAGATGGTCCCAGGGTCCCAGATTCTGTTCAGAGACTTATTGGAATAGCTCTCCTGTTGTATTTGTACTTTTTATATTGTAGCCTGTTCTTTTACACTCTTCAAGGGATGCAAGTCTGGATTATAAGTGAACTATAACGGACTTGACTTCTAGATTTTGAAATGCTTGTTGAAAATACCTGTTTCTTTGAACTTGTCAGTAAGTCTTGATGGTTTTTATAAAAGCTATGTGAACTAAGGCATGTGGCAAAAAACCCCCTGTTATATCAGAATGGAGTAGACCTTTCAAAGCATGAGGCAAGTGTAACTTCTGACTTGATGAATGAGACTATCACAGTAGTTTAAGGTAGTGTCAAATATTCACCATTTCTCAGTGCTTCATACAAAGTCAGTCTGGACCTGCACAGCTGACAAATAGTGCGTGCTAGAAGTGAAGACCTGCTACAATTGTTTTCTCAAAGCTGCCTAAATCTTTGAAATAAGGAAACAGTATTTGGATGCCCTCTGACTTGGTGGTTAAATAACAAAGGAACCTCCTTTAGAACCTGAAGCTATAAAAAACCAAATACCACTCATGTGACTGGTTGGGCTAATAGTTCTCTGTCTTCCAAAGAGTGAATTAGCACGTTTAAAAAGTCCAATCTTTAATAAGCAAATAAGTTAAGTTAGTTTTCTTCTAATAATGCTTCTGTTTTCCAGTATTCTAGAAGTGAAAAGCAAGCAAAAGTCCCTGGGAATGTTACTTAGAGCTAGGTAAAGCCTTAAAAAAACCAGAATTTCATGCTTGTACTAACAGAGAGGGAAGATATTTTCTGTACAAACTTTGACTTTGCATTGAAGGGATAGGGACATGGTGATTCACACAAACTCAGTACACAAATCATAATAACTAAAATATTTCTTCTGAAGTCAAAATTGTCTTTAAAATTTCAGGGTTGTTGGTGTCCATAAACTCCTGTACCTTGAATATGTCTCAACATTAATATCACTTGCAAAGGAACAGAATGCCTGTGCTTTGTAAGCCAAAAGAGAGCCAAGTGATGTGCAAACCGCAGCCCTTATGAGTTGTCCTGTGGTGCCATACAGATACTGCAGAGAACCAGAGCTGCAGGCTGCCTAGCTCAGTCATGGTGCTCCCACAGACTCTCAGGACAGATCTCTTAGTTGCTAATTGCCAAACCTGTGGCAGCTGTACAGGACTTGCTAGTTTGAAGCTGTGAGTAGTAAACTTGGTGTAACTAACTGCTGCTGCTCTTGGAGCTGTGCTGCAGGTTTTCTGGTTTGAATGGATAATGGCATCTGTCAGTGCAGACAATCCAGGAGTGAGCTTGCTGACTGTTCTCTAAGCTGTTCAGATGGAGGGTAGGTAGTTACTGGAGCCAAGTCAAACATGTAACTTTCTATCACTGGTTTTGCAGAAGGAAGATAATAAGGTTCCTAACTGGTCCCAAATGTGGGGCATATAAAGAGCTGACAAAGAAATCATTTATCAGTGTCAGAACAACTGACAAGTATAACAGCCATACTTCAGAAGGAACAAATCCAATTCCTTTCTTGCCTAAACAAATGGATAATAGTACTGGGGATGTAGATCTTTATAACCTGTTGCATACAGAGAAAATAAATGCACATATAGAGAAAGTATTGTATATTGAAGGAAAGCTGCTTCATCAGATTTCTGACTTCTTGTGAGCCATTCAAATCAACAAAGCTGCACAGCAAAACTGCACTGCTAGAAAAGCCACCCTGTTCACTGAAGGGAAAGAGGGTCTTCATATGCAGTATGCAAGCAAAATGTGCTAGTAAGACTTTAGTCTTCTAGCATATCTACGTGTTGGGATTTGTTTTCACTCATACATGCAAAAGTAAGGTAATCTTTAAGTAGCTTTAACTAGCTAACATCTAAAATGCTGCTTAAATGTAGTTGCTGAAAATTATCTGAAAATCACCATTTTGACCATTGAAATACTTTGTTTTACAGTTGGTTTGAGCTTTGTTTGGATTGTTTCTTAATCTTAAAAGGGCCTTGATGTTTGTAGTATGCATTTTCTTTTGCTGCAGTGAAAAGAAGTTGCTTGTTGAATAAAAGGAAAGCATGAAGGCACTCCTTTCAAAAAGTAGAAGAGACATAGAAAACTTCATATTTTCTGGTTCTAAACACAAATGAAGATTTGTACACTTCCATCAGGAATCTTTTTTAACAATAGTCTCAGTGCTCCAATGCAGGGCTGATAGGTTTTACTTCAAATAAAACTGTATCAGCCTGAATGGTCACTCCTCATTAAGAGTTTGACATTGTTGCACAGCATATTTAATGCTATTTTTTTATCTGTTTGTTTGGTTTGCATCAGTTTCCCTTTGATATTACTAATTTTTATACAAAATATTCAATATTTATTCTTAAACTTTGCTCTGTACCACAGAAAGACAGTTGTTTTGTAAAATTTGTTTTGAATAAACAGACTTATTTCTTTTAAAAAAAACCTAAGAATACAGAAAAGATAAATATCTCTTGTTGCTTTCTTTGTAACTGATTGGATCAGTTCTGATACTTTTAAGTGTTGTTCTGAACTCCCTTTTACAAGAGACTTCAAACTGCTCCTCTTTCCCCACCCCCTGATGTGTGCAAAACGCAAAATTAGTGTTCCCAAGAAAGGAGAGAGCTCACAAATTTGTTTACCAAGCTTCTAGGTCTAAAGCTGTATAAAACTGCCAGGTATTAGAAGCTGTACCTGTTGTTAATGTTATAATTTCTATGTTCTCTTCAGGCAGCCGTTCCCCTGGAGATGTGTATCTGTCTACACAAGATTTCAGATCATACTTTGCACCTTTGGAAAGGTAGCTGATGGTCAGGGGACCAGACATGGTATTTTCATAGGGTATAATTAAATTCAGATAATTATGATTTGTCTGTCTCTCCAATTTGTCTGACATAATGTATCAAGTTAGAGTTTTTACAAATGGAGTCATTCGCATCAGGTAACTCCAGTGTACAAGACAGGGGCATAACTAAAGCACAAATTATCTAAATGATAGTGAAGAAGAGAACAAAGGAAATGAAGTCAGGATTGTGGCATTCGGCTTCTTGCAGGGGGGTTTTCTTGCGGGTTTCTTGTTTTCTGGTTTTTTTTTTTTAATTGTTCCCTTTGGCCTAGAAACTGCAGTTCAGCTAAAACTGGGTTTGCTTGATATTTTTGTTGAAGTAAGTCATTTAAGTATCTGGTGCTTTAGAATGCATTGTTAATAATCTTTTTCTCAAGCTTTTGCAGAAACTTGAGCTTGCAGTTAAAAAACCCAGAAGCTCCTGAGAGGTACATAGTCAAATGTGAAAATTCTGAACATTATGAGAGGATCTTTTAACAGCAGGGTTTTTTTGTAAATACATGCAAGGCTTATTCTAATGACTTCTTTCCTCACATCTTGTAATTAATGCTTCTAAGAGGAAAAAACCTGCCAAAAAGCCCCAACATGAACAAAAGATAACTCTTATTTGCTTTTCCATCTGATAGACTCAGTATAAATGCATGGCTGTAAGCATTTCAGTGACTTCATTATTGCTAATTATTTATTAATCTTGGTGAACTTCAAAGAGGTTGTAGAGAATGTACTACAAATGCAGCAATTTGCATTCTAAGAAGAAAAAAAATATATAGTGGCTCATGTGTGCAGCCTTACCTCCTTCTTGTTGACAAGTTCTCATCACTTTCACTGGTCACCAGGACTCTGCTGGATCCTCCTTGACTGGCTTCATGCATCACTTCAATCTGAATGAGAAGGACATGTTAAAACTGAAAATACTTAATTGCTGATGCTTTTATTTAGAGAACTTTAACTCTTTGAAAGAATAAAAACCATATCCTACCTAACCTAGAAAGTCATTAGACAAGTTCAAATAATTGAATTCTTGATGTGCAGAAATATCTCCTATTTATATTCTCCATCTTTGCTCAGTGTTGGCATGGAGGCATTCCTTACTCCAAGCAAAGTCATCATATTCTTGTACCACAGAAGGGGAATTATCTCATTGTGTAGATAATTATGGGCATAATAATCTGTTCCTTAGACTCTGGAAGACTATTTTTTCATTTCCTGTCTGAGACCAACCCAAAGAATTCACATTTCCAGAGTTCTTTGTAGAATGCCCTGTGGAGAAATGTGGGAATCCTCCATGTGCCTCTGAGAAGTGTCAGAGTCCCAGCAGCAGTGCTGGGTGAGGCAGTGCTGGGCACAGGGACTGCAACAGAGCTGCAACAGAGCTTTTGCACAGCTCCAGTGTTTGTTTTGATAACACTCTCACACTCCCTTGTCCAGTCTTGCAGAGTTGGATCATTTCAAGTGCTCTCCAGGCAAGTTTTAAGCAGGCTTTTCCTCCTTTTGCCTGCAGTTTTAAGAGCAGCAAGCATTACTTGCACTTACTGAAAAGCCAATCTATTCAAATTCAGTTAAACAATCCATCTGCTGAGTTTGCTGTTAATCCAAGCCAATATCTAAATCCCAGCAGAATCCAACTTCCTGAGCACTTTCATTTCTAAGGGCTGATTCTTACATTCTATATTGCTAAATTATTTAGCTGGTTGATGATAATGATGGAATCCAGTAATGAACTATCCTCATCTGAACTATTAGAACAATGGGAGCATAGGGAGGGGGCATAATTGCAGTGTAGTCATGAGAAGTGGATTTAAAAATTAATGAATGGATGTTTTATAAAGCCTATGCCACACTGCTGCATACACCTAACTATGTGGGAGAAATGCAACTGATTACCTGCATTACTGATGAGAGTAAAACTAATTCTAAAGTCACCTTCTGTGAGTTTAGGCAAAGGGGACACCACCTGTATGTTCCTGCTGGTAACTGTTCTGTGCTTATTGCTGAAGTTGTGGGCTATGCTGGTCATTTCAGAAAATGGACTGCATTTAATTTTTGCTTTCAGCTTCAGAGGAATAAAGATGAAATGAACAGGTCAGGGGTGTGGATAACAGACAAGTTGGGTTAAAGTAGCTTGTCCTTATCAGAGAATTAAGTTAGCAATGCTCCAATTTTTTTTTTTTTTTAATTCTAAGTATAGGTATGTAAATATATTTATGAGGTTTTGAGTTCTTTCACAATATGAGACGTCCCCAAATTACAAGTAATCCTACCTTAATTCCACCTTTTGTCTTCTTAATGCTTTTCTTTTTTGATAAGTCTACTTCAGAAACAGTCTTTGGAGGGCAGGAAATTTCTGTAGACCTCCTGTTGGTAGCTGAAAGAGTAAAAAAGAAAGTAGAATTAGAAAATGTGCTTAAAGTTAAAATTCTACTTCCTAATAAAAGCAATGAGCAAAGGGGTAAATGAGGCCTGGCTTAGAGAACTGAGCTGTGCTGGAGCAGTGATGGACTGGGTGGAACAAGGGATGGGTCCCCTTGTTCAGTGCTGCACTGTCTCAAACTGGCATCTTCAGCTCCACACTGAAAGGATTACTCTGGTTTGGCTTCCCCTGGGAAAAGCATCTTTAGGACAGCACAGGTAAATGTTAGCCAGCTGTACCAGCTTGGGTAATTGCCTCTTGCATGGTGTTGCTTGTGTGGGTTCCCAGGAAATTTTGTTTCTGGTAATGGTTTGCTGATTGGTGTTGGATGAAAGGATTGTTCCCTGTAAGGTTTCATTACATGAACAACTCTCAAAAGAGTAATCACAGGAATTCAGCAAGGCACAGTGACAGGTGTGTAAGGACAGAATCTGAGGATATTATTTCAGAATAGGCCCTGTTGTGTCAGCTTTGGGGCCCTTGCAGGCTCTGAAAGGCTCAGCTGACACTGAGGCTCCTGGACATCCTTAACAACAAAAGCACCTGTGCTGAGCCTGCTGTACACAGCAAAGGGTTAGACTGAGCTATGAGAGGGGAAATCATACATTTGGCTTGAGTAGAAAATAATATCTGTTATAGATTTATCTTTGTTTTAGATTGGTAATGAGTTCACAGCACATGCAAGCACAAGGCCAACAGCACTCTTTCTCTTCTTCATTGCTGAATTTATATGGGCAGACATTCATGTCATGGGTGAAAAAAAGTATGAAAGCCAGGTGAAATGCTGAAACAATCTGGGTCAGGCAACAAAGAACAAAATTGAGGTTAAGTCCTTTTTTATTCTGGCAAAACTTTATAATTGAAGAAGCACTTTTTCTAATAATAAAAGCTGGTGCTTTCAAATGCATCTGGCAACATTTTGTTTAAGAGAGTTTCACCAAGTTTAATGTTTTGAAGTGTTGAGTCTTGATAGTCATTAACGTTTTCTTCTTTGGGAGAAGCTGAAGGATACAATAAAAAAGATGAAGACTTCTTTGAATGAGGAGGACCTAGTATCAAAGGTTTGATGTAGGAGAGGTCTGAACACTTTTGTAAAAGAAACACCTTAACAAAGTTTCAAATGCCCTTGTCATTTTGCATTCTTCCTTTAAAGTAGTTTTTAAAATGGCAAAAAGAAGCACATAGAAGCACCCAAATTATATTCAGTTAAAAAGGCAACATATCAGTTTCACAGACGATAGTAATGGAAGCTGACATTTCTTCTATCCTGTCTTTTCAACAGCCTTATCACAGAGCTGGGAAGAGAATTAATTAAAGCAGCCTGTCTCTAACTCTTCCCAAAATCTTGGATTTATCCAATGCTGAATGACATACGGACTTGGCAATGCCCATTTCATGCCTGTTACCTCCTAACAATGACTCCATACTAGAAAGTTTCCTCAATGGAACAGTGAAATCTGGCAGTCACCAGCACCTATAATCAAGTGGTAGAGAATTCTTGTGGTTCCCAGGACTGAGCTGAAATGCAAATGTCTCTTTTTGGCTCTCCCATCACTCTTTCAGAATATACAGCAGGGGATTTGTTTTGACTTTGAACACTACTTTCAACAAATACCTTTTTCCTATCCCCAAGCAAGCTCTCCCTGAAGTAGTATTTGTTCTCTCAAAGGTATTTTTATTTCACTCAAAAATGTACTGACATTTTGGAACCAAGGGAACAAAAAGATGCAAGATGCAGCACATGGAAACTCTTGATCCCAATTGTCAAACTTCTTCATGCCTTTCTGATCTGCAGGGAGGGTGACTGCTACTGCTGGCAAAACCTGAATATTTGGTAAGTTTTCAAATGGATCCTTTTATGTGTTTTCCCATTAATCTCTGAGTAAAGTGTCTGTAAGCATCAGCAAATTCACCCTTTTCTGTATTGATGCAGCCTGGAAATTCTATTTAGACATAAAATCTCACCTACCACCATCATGACAAAACAGGCTGTGATCAGACATATTACACTAAAAACTATTATCTCCTGGAGCTTCTCCCAGCTTTATCCTATTTATACCCTGAAAATCAGCATAAAGAAAATAGATCTGAGACTTGGCCACCAAGATATTGTTTTATAATCTTAGCCACACTTGAATACCCTAGATATGCTGCCAATGTCTAGTTGCCCTCTCTAAATCTGAGTTCAGTCCCTTGGATTGCTCTACAATCTAATTCACAATGGATATGTCATGGAAATTAAGGGAAGCAACAGAAATAACTTCAGAAAACATGAGGACTTTTGCTTAGAAGAGCATAATCAGCAATACCAAGTTGGCTTATTCATTATTCAGAAAATTTTGTAGCTTGAAGGGATGGTTGATATTGGTATGAAAACCCTTGCTGAAAGCAATCAGCAGAAAAAGTGAAAATCAGTTACAACTTTGATGTCTGGATCACAACTTGCAAGCTCAGACAGCTCCAGGTGATGCAGGAAAGAGCACAGCACAATTTAAATGAAAGATGACACATTCACAAGAAGTTAAACTGCAGGTGCTCCTTGATCCAGCAGCAAATTTCTCAGGTCAGTTTACAATTTGAGTCTTGGCTTCTTCAGTGTGACATATTTCAGAAAAGGAGACAAGATATGAAAGCAGTCAAATTCCACTGAGTCTGTTTCAGAGATGAATTTGATTCATATTGACACAGCAAACTTCCCTTTCCAATTAGACCAGAAATGAACTGAAAACAGGAAACAAACTGCTTTGGTTATGCTCTGGAGAATTTTTCAGTTATTGACTGGCCCATAGTCAGAGATTGCTATATGTCACTGCATTTAAGTAGTTGCTGAAGCAGTACAGAAAGAAACAGCCCAAATACCTGCCAATTATTATTGCAATAATTACTGTGGAACTGGAAATATAAGGGAAACTCCCTCATAGAATTCAGTACAGTTGGCTGTTTTGAGGTCAGTACAGTATTGTCTTGCTGAAGAAGCTGAAAATTACAATGTTGAATTGCTTACTGAAAGAAAGGCACAGGAACAAAGGAGAGCTAGAAATGATCTAATGTCTGCATGGTTGCAGAGTTGTTTTCATCCTATTGTTTCACAGTACTCCCCTGGATGATACATAATGATGATTTCATTTTGAATTCATTAATATTTTTAATTGCTTTATGCTACTTTTAAAGCAAATATTGTCAAAGGGCGTTGTAAAGCAGAGTTTGGGTCTGTCACTTGCATTCACCTGGAGCACCACTACACTTTTCCAATGGGGCTTTAGTACTGTTTACTGGTTTTTTGTGAACAAGTTGTATGACAAGTATGGAATCACTGTTGTGTTATTTAGCCCACAGCAAATGGTAAAGTGGACTGTGCTGTTCCTAAAGCTGCTAGAAAATGACAGAGACTCATGTGCTCTGTTTTGCTTTGCAGTCTCTCCACCCCTCTAAGACTGAAATAAATTCAGTGAGGAAAACTTGCTGTGCAGCTTGTGAGGAAAACTTGCTGTGCAGCTTGTGAGAAAAAGCTGTGGTTTCACCCATTCTCCCCCCTGCTCCTTTGTGGCAGGACACAGGCACCACTCTCAGGTGCTGATCTCTTACAGTGGAGGCTGCATCCCCCACTGAGGGACAGACTGAGGGACAGACAGAACTGTGGGCAGCTCCCAGGTGCTCAGAGACGGCTGGATTAGTTCACCTGGGTAAGTGGCTCTAAGTTAGCTCCTGCTAGAATAAGTGCAACTCATTAGCTAGCAAGAGGCCATAGCCAAGGGTTACAAATCAAGACAAGATATTCCAAGCCCTCCACAAGTAAACACCACACTTCACATTCAGGTTTGGGGGGGATTCTCCCATCACGTTCTCCCATCTGTTTTCTGTATGGGTTTGTGCATTCTCACTCATCACCTCCAGCAGAATTGAATTCTTTTGGCAAGAACAAGCACGGGAATAACTAGTGTGCTAAACTTTATTGGGGCTTGCTGCTCATGCTGTACAACAGAAGCATGAGTTTGAAGATAATTAGTGGCTTAATTGCTATTTTGAATGCTGGTGATGGCAAAACAATGTTTAGGCAGCTAAAGAAACACCAGAGCAGCTATGGTTTGTCACTTAATGGCTTAGGGCAGAAAGACTTTGCCCTTCTTAGGCAATATAATTTAGACTTCTCTCTGGCAAAATTTCTGTCAAGCCCCCTGAAAATCTGCTGAAATAAGAAGCACAGAGCAAGATTTCTGGATGTGGAATATTCTGCTACAAGGAGACACTACTTGGTTTCCTCAGACTGGCCCAAGAGTAATAGCAATCCCACAGCCACAAAACTGAAAGTATCTTTTCCTTTTTACAACTTCATTTATAGAAATATACTGAACCAGAAAACCAGTGGTTTCTTAAACCACTGGTATATGAAACCAGTGGGTCTTAAACCATTCATGAGTCACACACACCATCTCTTCTGTGTCAGCTAATCTCACCACAGCCTCACTTCCCCTGCACACATCCCCAGACTCTTGCAAGAAATTCTTCCTTTATCCTCTGTCCAGATGTTATTAGTTAGTGAGTGTTATGCACTAGTGACTGTGAGGAATGCTGGACTGGATCCAATGAGCAGTTGTATACATTTAACTGAGATGGAACCAGCTTAAATTTTATTATTTAAAGAACTGAGAAGGCTCCAGCTGTGTTTTCCCCCCTATGAACCTTGCATTCCAAGTTGGCCTTCTAAGATGCTTGTATGGTGAATCATGGATTTTGTATGTGCAATGTGCTGTTAAACATGTTATTTGTTTAACAAGCTCACAGACATTTTGACATCTCTGCTCCTGTATTTCACATTTATGTTGCCCACAAAGAACTCTCTAGGTGAATATTTTATAGCACTTTGTGCTGCCATGTTCCAACTCTTGTCAGAAAGGTAACTAAAGCAAGACATTTTTCCTAACCATGGTCACTGAGATGGCCAAATCACCTTTTACTGAAATTTTCCAAGAACATGTAAGGTTGAAGGGAATAGCCATTGGGAAAGTTTCATTTCAAAGAGTAAGAGTTTGGGAGAATTACAAGCAAATTAAAATAGATAAATGCTAACTGCAGTAATTTCTAATTGCTTGTATTATCCTTTACAGTTCTGTAGTTCATCTCTTTGTGTGGTTTGACCTTGTGGACCTACTCCAATTCACTCCATGCTAAAGTGTTTTGCATAGAAATGCAGAGAACAAATATGTAGTCAAATCATCAAAAACTATACCCTCAAAAGTGAATCAGAGCAAAAATATCAAGTGCCACTTCTTTCCTCCCAGCAGACATAGGGACAAATTTAGCTATTAGAATTCAAGCAGCTTCCACTGGGAGAAAATGGAGTTCTCCTTAAAATAAGGTGTCATATATACTACTTAAATATTTTCAAAGCTCTTATTATAAAAGGTCAACAGAGTTTTCTGCCTTTTCAGGGTTGATCTGTGAATAATATTCAATCAAGTTCTCACAGCTAAAACATGCACCAAATACAGCTGCCACAGACTTTTCAGCATCACAATAATTCCAGAACTAGTACTTCAATCTTGAACAGACTGTCCCTGCAAAATATGAAAGTCCACTTGTGAAACCAGAAGCATCAAGAAAAATTGGGATTAATGTAAAATTTTTCTTCAAAGTTTCCAGACCCATATAAAAGTGTTGACCAAAGGAGAGTCAATTCTGAGCTGCTATTCTGGATCTTCACTGAGCTAAAAGATTGCTGAGAGTCACCAGAAACCATAAGGACATGCACATGAAACTGTGACAGTCCTTTCCCCAACAGAAACCTGCCCTTTCTCTCAGATATGGGATCAGCTATGCCTGTGTGCAGAAAATCCATCTCTGCCCACACATTTGTCCATGTAAAATGGAGAGTCTGAAAGTTACAATAATGGAGTGTTTAATGTCTGAGCCTTCATATCTGTGAAGATTTTTCCATTAGCACCCTGAATTGGACTGAATTTTCCCTACTGCTCCCAGTTAGGAAAAAGGAGAGTCAGCAAGGAAGAACAAAACAAAATCTATTCTGGAACAAATGTAACTCCTTTTCCTTTCACAGACCAACCACCCCAGTGCTGCCATGGTATTGTTACACTGCTGCCTGCGGATAAAAGCCTTTCTTTCTGGTCTTCTATTTCTGTTTACCACATTTTATTGACTTTGCTTGCCTTTCTATTTACACAATATAGGAACATGGTATTTTCCTGTTGTCATATTATATTTTGCAAGCTTTTAGAAATATTCAGGTATGTCCTGGGTAAAATATGACAAATGAGTTACAAAACCTGTTTCAAGAAGGTGTCTTAAGCCTCTCTCAGTTTCCAAGATGTTGCTTAATAAATTCTCCCCATAAGTAAATGCTGATTGTGCATTGACGCCATGAATGTGAAGAAAGGACACCGAGGAAAGTCCAAAAGACAGTAGCTTCAAGAAGAGCAGAATTTCACAGCCTCATTTTCAGGCTTGGAATAGGACTCAGTGTCCCTGTTTCTATTCTCAGACATGTTTCAGAGTCAGACTGTGAAACACCTTGGTGAATTCCTCAGTTTAACTTGCTTCAGTTTTCTTTCTGAAAAAAGAGGTTAAAATACTGACCAGTACTTGCCAAGTGCTTTGGCATTCTGAGGAAAAGGGCACTCAGGAATTCCAAAGTGTGATTCTCTGTAACAGACAACTGGGTAACACCAAAGTGATTCATAAAGAATATGTGAATATACATGTACTATTCATGGCTGTTAAAGTCACTGACTGAGAGTCCCTGGATGAGCTGTAGATACTCAGGCACTTCTGTTTCTTTGCACAGAGGTACTCTTGGTCAGTCACCTCCTAGAATCTGAATGAAATGGCAGAGTCTGCTTATCAATGTCTGAACAGAACTGGGTTGCACTTTGCACCTCCTCACAACCAGAGTACTATTTTAAAATAAATTTCAGCCACTTATTATTTTGCAACAGGACATTAAAGGCTAAGCCTTGTCACACAGTTATCCTCTGTTGGGTTGTATAACTATGTACTGCAATTCAAGGGACAGAGCAAGGCAGCATCTCATGACTTTTTGTGAAAGAGCTGATGGTATATGGGATGGGCTGTATGAACAAGAATCAAAACTTAAAGCACTGTCATAAACCAGTGACTGTTCTATAAGGTTCTATCTATATCAATAATTTATTCTAAAAATCTGCAAATGTGCTAAAATGACAAGAAAGAAGTTCAAGAAACATTTCAAGAGACTGCAGGCATAAACAGAATGGCAAGATTAGCTTTTAGCCTGAAGATGCAGTTTCAGAATTGGTAAAAGCCATCCTAAAACTGTGCTGCCACTGACAGGAACTAACTGGTTCTGACCTACTGACCCCATAACCCCATTTTCTGCAACTTTTTTTTTCCTTTGTTTCAGCACTAGTGGCCATGCAGTGAGCAATCTGATGAATGCTGTAATTAGTGCTGCTTGGAGCAGTGACTGGGCTGTGTGATCTCCAGAACTCCCTGCATTTTTCTAACTCTTGCAATGGAAGAAGAACTATTACAGTTTTGCAGCCTATTTATTCCGTTTTCAAGGCAAATCACCACCCCAGCAAACTGACTGCCCACCCCAGTGCAAGAGGGGAGCACAGTGCTGGAGGATGGGTGTGTGGCAGAGCAGGACCTCTTCACAGGCATTGTGTTCTCAGCTTGCCTCAAACTAAAAGAGAAGCTGAAAGTTGAGGTGGAAATTGTACATACAAAACACAGCCAGCATGGTTTGGGGGAAAAATGTACAGATGTCAAATCAGCATGGGAATGGGGAAAAGATGATTTTCCTTTGGAAGAAAGGATGGATGAATGCTGGGGAGCAGAGGAGAACAGGGACATTGGTGTGACTTTCTGCTGGTATGCCTAAAAAGTAAAATGTTCAGGCTACTGGCCATCCATCTCATCAGGAAGATTCCTGTTGAGAAAGCAGTTTATTGAACGTTCTTTGGGCAAATTAGAGGGGTTTCTAAAGGCTTTTTACTAAAGGTTCCCCTTTTGAACAGCCCTAAAGGTTACAAAGGGGCAACCTCTTCCTGCTACCAAGCACAGGGTAGCTGGTCTCCAGGATACACTGTTTCTAATTAGCTTCACTCTTGTTCCTTTTGCAGGAAACAGCTATCTTGGCTAAATGCACGTGCTAACCTCAAATCAGGAATTTCCAAACAGAAGCAATGCTCAGCTTCTATGATAGCAGAGGACAAAGTAGAAAGTGAAAGGTAGAAAATGAACTAAGGTCTATGTAGAGGGGGAAAAAAATTCCACAAATTAGTCAGCGTCACTCACTAATGGACCCTTAATTTTGCAAGTATCTGATTGAAACTTGAGGAATTATGACACTTGAAAGCCAAATATTCACATTACATTATCTGCAATATAAAAGAGGTTCACATGCTTGCATTGCAGGCTTGCATAGACTACCCTGGTGTGGTGATTTGAGAATTAACAATCCAAGACACACTGAGACACAGTATGGAAATGCACTCTGCAGATTAGACCTAGGAAGAGAAACCTGGTGGGTTTTTTAGATTCACCCTTGTTGGTATGTTTGCAGTGAGAGATATTTCATATTCATTTTTACTAGCTGTTCCTATGAGGCTGACACTGCACATCAAATTCAAGTGTTCATTCTGATAACAAAACTCAAACATGACCATGTGGACAAAACATTGGTGTGAGTCTGAAAGCAGCTGCTCAGTGCCTACCTACTGCTGCTGGTCTGGTAATCTTTGGTGATGCTCGCTTTGGGGAAGATTCAGGATGTGGAGCAACAGGTTGTACTGGCCGGGTCTGTTTGGCTGCCAGCTTCTTCAGACTGACTTGCCTCTTGTCAAACATTTCTTGCACATCTTCGAGTTTTTGTACAATTCTTTGGGCATTGGCCTTGACAAAGAAAAGGCAAACAACAAATGGTTGTCAGTGCTGGACTGAGTGAGTGAAGAAAGGACTTGTATTATCAGACTCAGACTAGAGCTGGGCATCACACTGTGCTGCAGTTTACTGCAGCCCACACATTCTGCCCAGATCACAGTTTCTCTGACCAAGACATGGTGACTCAAACAGTTCCTAGCACTGCTCTGAAGAAAATGACGTAAGTGTTGCATGACTGCTCTTATGAGTAAAACTTACTGCCACAAATACTGACCTCTGTGCCCTTTTAGAGTAGGGAAAGAGGCATATTTTAGTAGACTCAAATATATAGCCCAGTACACTTTCATGGACAAAGTAATAGGAAATGTTCAACTTCCAAGTGAGCACATGCACATCTGAGGGGTTTTACCTTTATTTCAGGGGTGAGGATCATGTCAAACTGATTGTAGAACTCCTTCGGGTTGGAGAGCTGGTGTTCCTTAGCTGTTACCAAGAACTTCTCAATTTCAACGAGTGCAGTTTCAGCTCCCTCTTGTGACTGGCACTTGTCCACAGCTTGGGAAGCTAAGAGGTAGATTCCAGCTTCACACCATTGGCTTGCCTTCAAGGAAAAGTGGGGGAAGAAGGACTTATCATCACTGACAGTCCAAGTTGTCAGCTGTTGCTTCTACTCTATGAAAAACAGATTTGCTCTAACATGTCATTAAAAGGATATCAACATTACTCATAGTGTGCCTGCCCATAATTCCTACCCACAAGTCACCCTATCAGCATGTGCAGAACTGAACTTGCTGAACTGATGCAAAGCTCAATATTTATACTAACATTTACTGAATAAAATGGAGAAAAACCAAACATAATTTTTTATCTTCATCATAATTACCTAAGCTAATAAAATCCTTCACTTTTAATAGAACTTTGCCAGAGCTGTTATCTGAGAGGGTTCACTCACCTTATCTAACTGCTTATGCAGCTCAAGAGACTTTCCCAAAATATCATACTTTTTCTTGGTCTCATTGGTAAAGTCATCACAAATTCGCCTGAGTTCAACACACTTTGGTCTAATGGAGTCAACTGCATAATGGTTGTTTTGGATGAGCTGTTCTCCATGGAGAGCCAGAGACTGGGCCTTCTCCAAAGGTTCCTGTGAAATTAATGAGAAAAATCCAAGGTTAGAATTACATGCATAATAAGAAAATCCTTCTCTGTAACCCCTGCTGTAGCCTGGGGATAAAGGTTTGGAATATTAATATAGCTGATATGTCTTACTTTATATTTAATTGAAGGCCAACTTCCATGTCAATGAGTACATTGAAACTTGTGAGGTTCCATCTGAACACCAGGAAGCACATTTTTGTTGTGAGGGTGACCAAACACTGGAACAGGTTGCCCACTGAGATTATGGAGCCCACTTCTGCTTTCTCACATACTGGGGACATTCATTATACAAGTTTTTCCCTACTTTTTCCCCTAGTTTTCCAAGCAATTAAATGGAAGTACTGGGTCTGAACAACCCTGGCTTCTGGAAATTAGGATGTGTGGTTTGCAATTTAAAGTAATGACTCATGAGAAGAGAGTAAATCTGGACACAAAAAAAAAAAGAGAGTGGCAAGTGTCCAGAATACCATGTCTATAGCAGCTGGAATACTAAATTGAGAGCAAACCTGTCCTTTCTCTTCCAGATGTTTCTGTTCCTTGAGGAGGTTCTCAACTCGAGTCACACTGTCTCCAATGTCAGTAAAACCTGCTTGTGTTTCCATGAGATTATCCAATGTTAATTTTACCTAAAAAACAGCAACAACAAAAACATAAACCAAAACAAAATAAACCTACCCAAAACCCCATCACAAGATACTGATAAAAATTACAACAAACATTCTCCTACATCTCTGAGAAAAGTCTGCATCTCAAGTTTAGCCTTTCAGTTTGTTCCAAAATGGAAAATCCAAGGAATAAGTCAACAACCAACTATTCTTCAAAGAGTTTCCCTGCTTCTCACTAATTAGGCCCACAAAGTTTTGGCAACCTGTAACTCCAGAGCTTAAATTACTTCAGAATCTGTATTACTCCAGTCTCTAGGCTAACAGTTGGGCTTTCTGAACTGTATTCCTTTGACTCTGGTGGGATTGGTGACTTACCATCACAGAAGAATTTATGTTTGATAACTTCACACCTAAATGCAAAATTATTTATCAAGGTAAATTTGCTTAGTGGTGCTCCACATTTTGCCCTCACAGTCTGGCACTTTCCTCACTGTGCCTTACTCAAGCGTTGTAAGACATCTGAAAGCTGTCAAGACTTTAATTTTTGAATATTCATTTCCTATTGCATAATGATCTTCTCTCCCAACCTCCTTTTTGGACTGCTGGTATACTCTAAGTATGGGTAGAATTTGACCTTATTTACCAGGGAAGGCTAGACAGCATGAACAAAGAAATACCTCTCTGAAATCATGTTCAAAGTGTCGAAGCTGCAGGCACTGTTCTAGTTTGAGATGATGCTTGGTCCAAAATTGATCAAAAGCCTTTTCTGTTTCATCCAACTGAGCCAACAACCTGTTAAGAAATTATAATGAATAGAATGTACTTATTTCCTATATATAATTTCTTTTAAGTTACAGTAAGTGATGGCAGAAAGCAGAGCAGGGAAATGGTGGGGAGCCCTAAAATTATATAAGAGGGCTCCGTATCAACTCTCTCATAAGCAAAAGAGAATTAAATTTGCAGAAAGACAGGCAGGAATGTGACAGATGAGTGACAGCTACATGGATCTACTGTGGCAGTTACAGTCCTGCCTCCTGATGTGCAAGAGGGACTCAGAGTTGTTCCATGTGCTGGCAGCCAAGGGCAGCTGTCACTCCCTAGCTTCCACCCAATGCCTCAAAGACAATCTATCCCCAAATTATGTAGATTGAATATGATGCAATTATTATTTTATGGAATTATTAAATCAGAACTCTACAACTTGTTAATTTTCTTCACCCTTTAGAAATAGGCAAGGGCTAAATAATTTTTCCCAGTCCATTAAAAACAATAGATTAGGAGCTCATAATGACTCCCATGGACATTGTTTTACTTTGTGTAAATGATGAAACATTTATTTGCAAAGACATTAATCTCAAGGTGTCATATCTTCAGTAAAATATCTGACACTAGGCTAGTGAGTCATCCTCACAGTTTCTCAATGATCCGTTAATTATGAAGTAGAACAGTTTTAAACAAGTGGAAAAAATGAAAAGGAAGAGTTCTCTGAATATCTTGTATTTCAATAGATGGGCATTCTTTGGGCAGATAAGGGATCAGTGCATGCTGAAATCATCAAGTTTCATGCATGAAATCATCAAGTTATTGGGGCAAATGCCAATAGCTCCCTCCTATTTGTCTCAAAAGTAAGTTTCTGTTTTCAGTCTGTCCCTCGAAAACTTTTTTTTTAGTCAAAGCTAGTCGTTGAATTCAAGATGAATTCACAAATTCCTTTGGGATGACTGTTCAAAGGATTTTAAAGTATTCAGTGAAAAATATCAGCTCAGCTTTACTTTTAGCACCTTTGTTCCCAGTTAATGCAGACACACTGAAATCGTAGCACGGCATTTCTCTTTGCTCTGCATCACATGGCACGGCAGAAAGTTCTACATGGTGACTAAAAGCTTTATGGTAATAACTAGCATTGTAGGAAGGAAAAGGGGGTTCTCTCACTGGGTATCTCTGGATCTGTGACACACAGAATGTTTCAGGTATCATCTTCATCTGCTCTTCCCCCAGTGTTTCCACAGACACTCACAAGCACATCACCCACTCATCTCACAGAGACTCAGGTACTACTTTCTAGCCAGGCACAGAAGTTTGGAGGACATACATGTTATGGACAAATAAGTCCCACCTGAAATCTTCAGCCAGGTAGTTTGTGGTCTGACCAAAAATTACCAAGAAATTCAGGACTTGTTTGAACTTGCCTTGGCAGTCTAATCAAGTCATTTCCTCTAAGCTATTTCCTTCTTGGACTTACCTGTCCATAAATCCTGAGTATGTGAACCAGTGGTAATTTATAGCCTGCATATTTAAATTATTTAAATTACATTTGCATCTCCTAGGAATAAATTAGCAAGTTGCACAAGGTAATTTAGCTCCACTAACCTTTCCACTGTGGCCACATTTTCCAGTTCATCTGGACTGAGTTTGCTGTTGGCACTTCGGGTGACTGGCTCCCGGATGCATGTCAGTAAGGTGGCCCCCTGCTTCACTGCCAGCTTCAGCTCATCCTGAGGGGAAAAAAACAAGCCAAAACCCAAACTGTATGTATTTCTAACACATACATTTCTTAGATGACAACAGAGTAATGATAAAGGAGGATCCTTTCATAGGTACAAAATACTTGAAACAAAATATAAATGCTTACCAAAGGTGGTATGTTTTTCTAGCAAATGCAGAGACCTAAATCTTTTAACTTTGAATAGTAAATCTATTTCTGAGAAAAGGAATAGAGTAATTTCTGAGCAGATTGCATATCTGACCAGGCCACTTGCAGAATAAATTATTCTACCACAAACTGAATGTATGCTGTAGATTGTGAGCTGAGAGACTGGGCTGAGACATTGCACTTCTTAATGGAATTTCCTCAAACAACACTGTGCCATGCTGAGCCGTAGTACACCAGCTATAAGAAGTCATCCACAGAAGTGTCTTCCCAGCATGAAAGATGAGCAATAAAAACGACAAAGAGGCTCAAATGTTAACTTGTCAGATGACGAATCCCCACATCACTGCACAGTTCTTCCATAAAAATTGTTCTTGTGCTAATATAGCTTAAGTAGTATTTTTAATCTTGTGTTTAACCTAAGGCATTTGCTGAAAGCAGTAATTTTTACTTCTGATCCTTATTCTGCAAAGCCAAACTAGCCCAAATTTATTTTTTAAACAAAACAACAGTCACCATCTAGTTAGATCATTCTATTCCTGACTATCCTCACAGATGTTCTCTTTTTCTGCTCCAATATAAATCCATCCTTTCTGATAAACTCTTCATCAAGGGCCCATGCTATTCCAGATGTGATCCCTTTACTCCCTCTCACACAGTGGAAGTGACACATCCCCATTCTATCATTCCTGAGGCTGTAAAATGTCCTTTTTCCAGAGCTGAATCAAATTGACCTCCTGAACCCAGGTGTCTGTCCTCCTCCTCAGTGGTTTCCAGACAATGGATTGCCAAGTGATGGCAGAAAATTTTGTTAGGTCAGAGCTCATCTATTACACTGCTGGAGCCATCGTGGGGCAACAATCACCTTCAGCTTGCTGTGGTGCTCAGTGTGTGAGGAGAGAAGCTCCTCTGTGCACTGCACGTCGTTGGGAAGTTCAGTCTCTGCTAAGTCTGTTCCAAAGCTCTGTAGCATCTGTGCTGTTGTTTTTACTGTCATTGCAAAGTTTTCAATAGCCTGGAAAAGCAAAAGCATAAAGTCACAGATTGGTTATTTACCCTTAGCCCTTTAACAACCCTTCATGCTTCAGGCACACCATGCTGCAAGTATTACATGCCTGTAAAGCTGGTCACATTGCCTTTTTTTGGGTGGATGTGTTAAAAGTTACAAATTAAACCACAAATGACCTTTTCACAGGCCTGCACATATTGTCACCTCCATGAGCCAACGGGGAACTCCCAGAGCTCAGCAGACATAATGAAACCACAGAGGACATCAGCTTCAAAGGCAGGCCTGGAACTTCAGATCCTCTGCCCATGCTTGCTGGGAAATTCTGCTGCATTTAAAATTTTAATGAAGGCTTTGTTTAAGTTGAGAGCACTACTAAAATATATAGGGCAAAGCCTTTATATTTATACAGCCATTGTTCACTCAGCAGTAATCTGTCTTCCCCTGACTTCTGAATATGTGCATCTCCACCTTGCCTATCTGTATGAGATGCATTCTAGTCCCTCCCTCCCATCTGTCCATGCTAGTACACAAATACAGGAACAAGTAACTACAACTACAGTTAAAATGCATAAATTCATGGGATCATTGCTGTTTCTTTATCACTTGGGTGCACCAACACAAAATTTGTCAGAAATCTGGTTTTAACGAAGAATGGGGAAGTGAGGAAGGCTAAAAAATCAATGCCACCTTCTTAGAGCAGAATATAACATTCAGACCTGTGACACTTTATATCTAGCTGCATGGAATGTTTTTCCATGATCATGCCCAAATTTGGGGGTGGCTGTGTTGTTCTGTATAGCTCTTTATTCTCTGTACATTTTGATCTAATCCCCCACAGGTCTGAGTCAGTCAACAAGCACTAGGGATGCTCTTACACCCAATCAAATACCATATAATTGTTGCACACTGCATTCCTTTCTCCAGCAATGATGGGAATTCATTGCTTGCAACTGTGACAGATGAAATTATGCTGTGTGCTCAGTGAAAAACAAACTGGAGGTAGAACATCATCCAAAAGATGTATAGAGAAATTAGCCCACATTTGTGATCTCAAACATGCTCCCATGAAGGAATGCTAGCAGAGTTCACAGCCTTCTTCCCTTTTCCCCCATAAATTCATGTCTGCTTTCAGCACAAGCAGTACAGACCCACACATGCTCTATCTTAGCGTATGCTGCTGTTCTCAGCACTGGAACTACTGGATTAGAGTTGGCTGAAATGTCACACTTCTGACTGCAACACAGACATGGCCATCCATGACCAAAGGCCATTTACTGAAAGCCAAAAATGCACTCTGGAGGCAGAAAGTCCACAGACGCCTGGCAGCCAAGAGAGGAGAGTGAAACAGTGAATGATGCAAGGAGGTTGCTGTGTCACTGCCATTTAGCCAGAGTTTAAAGCTTTTTCAGAAGAAAAGAAGGGGCAGGACAAGACATGAGAACACCAAGAGAAGCAGCAAAGGGCATGAAGACCACAGCTCAGCAAGGCTGGAAGTCAGATTGTTTCAATGTGCCATGGAAGCTGACACTTCCCTGATGATAACCTCTTATCCAGCAGATATTCCTTGGCTGACTGCACCATGAACTTGTCAGTGTTTCACTTAATAGCCTGCTTGCACCCACTCTCTCCTGTGCACATGAGCAATAAAATGTTCCATGTACCTAAGTTACATCTGTGGATTGGTTTCTTTCCAGTCTCTGTGCTTGGTAAATTTTTTTCTAACAAATTTAACCAAAACCTCTGGGGATTACATAGCCCTACTCCTATAAATTCTTGGCTCATTTTGTTTGCATATTTTACCAAAATATATATTATTGCTTTATGTAGACCCCTGTCATTAATAAATAATACAACTTTTCTTGTGCCTCTTTTTATCCCCCTTCATATTTTCAGACCTTTTGCTGTTTGAAACTCTTACAGATGATTCATTTCTTCACACTTCCCCTTCCTGTAAGGATGGTTTCATATTTTTGATACTTTTGACACATTAGCCTGTTCACTCATCTCAACTCCAACCTCATTATAGTCAACATAGTTATAAATGTAGAAAATCAATGTTAGACAAAATTCAGATTCTATGTTTGCATATTTAGAAGCCTGAAATATTTGGTGGTTCTCAAGGAGACTAAAATTTAATAAGGACAGCAAAGCACAAAAAAACTATAGCAAGAAAATGACAAAAGTGGTTTGACTTAAATTACCTCAGAAAAGCTCTTTTTATGGGTTAGGTGTAACTAGCTCATCAGCAACAACAGACTCAAACCCAGAGCTGCTCAGATCTTTGCAAAACATTGAGGCTTACATTGGATGTGGGCTCTAATCTATCAATCTTGCAAGTAAGCCCACAAAGAGAGACACAAACATTGTATAAACTCTCTGTGAAATTAATTACTTTTCCAGGATCATGACCCAGCTTAGCACATTTTTGCTTAGGAAGAATGAAACAATATTTTGTCTGCTAATGTGCCGGAGTTTGGAGTCTGTTTTTTGTGAACTGTCATCTTAACTGGGCACCATAATGAATTGTTTACATTGTTTTGAAGCAGACACTGAAATGCATTAACCAGCCCAAAAAGGAAGCAATCAAACCTGTACAAGTTTCCTCAATAGAACAAAAAAGTCTTTCTGCCTTCCTACTGGCAACTGTTCTTCAGTTACCCAAAAAAGACCCAGCATGCTTGCATAGTATAGAAATGAAAAATATAGTGCCCTGAGTATTTTTATTCTCTTAAAAACATGGACATAATTAATAATTAAAGTGAGATTTTTGACCTTTGTAAAGTCAGCAAAGTGCGACAGCCTATTTTCAATTTCAGCTGAAGGCCTATGAATCCCATCAATTATTGAAAAGGCAAGAGAAGGCCTTGCTGAGTAAGAACACCACGACACAGTTAGGCCCTGGGCCAGGTACACAGTGAGATACAATTACTGCTTCCATTGCAAACTTTTGGGGAATTTGCCTTTCTCTGTTTGAGTCACGGATTTCCTCCTCCCCCGAGTCCCTAGCAGAATCCAGAGGCTGTACTGCTGAGTGGTTGCTCTGCATTTGTGCCTGGGCAGCTGTGGTGTGATGTGCAGAGCAGCACTCACCGTGCGGTGATGGATCCACTGGCTGTGCCCGTACTCCAGGGTCCCTCCCAGCTCCCGCGTCAGCTGGCTCTTGTCAATGTAGCCATGCAGATCAGAGACAGAATTTAACATGATGATCTGAAAGGAATGCAAACACACTGGACTGAGAGAAATAACGAGCTTTTCAATCATTGTTCCTAGGATCTGGGTTTGCCTGAACATAGATGACCACTGCAGTTCCACCAGAGGCCATCAGTTCTCATTTTGCATTTTCTCATGCCATGGTCACAGTTTATTTTCCCTACATTTTGCCTTCTCAATGTGTACATGGACATTTTTGAACTAACCTTGGTTTGACATCATCTTCCTCCTTGCTGGGCTGACTCATTTTGCATGCGCATCAAAAGCAAAAGTACGGTATTCATAATGCTCACACAAACATCCATAACATAATTTATTCTCTAGATAACATTTATTTACAGAGAAATGGAGGCACAAGCAAGTTAAACATCTTCTTCAACACAAACCACTTGATCCAGGGAAGTGCTGAAATGAAACCATTGAGAATAAGATTTTTCTTTCCGTTTTCTGATTTTTTTGGCACTGTATGTTCACTGAATTCACTGGCATTTTTCCATTTAAAATCATAATGGAAGAGAAAGGAGAAATACACCTAGATCAATTATTTTACTTTAGAATCTCCTTACCACTAGACTTGCTTGAAGAAAGCCAAACAAGATTTGAGTTCAGCTTCAGATAAGCAGCATTAACTTTTGGCAACCTCTGTAAATTTGTCAACACAAGTGGTTACACAAGTAACACTCATTTATTGTTGTTCCAACAGCTAGAAGATTTGCCAGGATTTCAGCAACAGAAGAATAAAAATTTGAGCACAAATGATTAGGAATTTTAAATAAATAAATGTCAAAAACATGTCAAATGTGTTACTTGACCCTATTTAAAGAAAGCTTAAGTGGCTCTGCATGTCAGCAGGCTCCAATGGAGCATGGTAAATACGCTGACAAACACTGTGGACAGTGAGATGAGTGCAGATATATGGAGACAAGAGGATGCATATTCTAGGCTAACAGTGCCCTAAGAAAAGCCTCAAGAACAAACTCAAACAAGTTTTTAGCTGATCTTTGTTACAGAATCTTTCTGGAATAATTCAGCTTGGTGGGAACCTCAGCTCTCTAGTCCAACTTTTTTCTCAAAGCTATGTCAGCTGTGAGATCAAACCAGGTTGCTCAGGTCTTTATCCACCAAAGACTTAAAAACATCCAATGATTGAGATTGTACAACCTCTTTGTACAGCAGACCAGCAGTCTGGTCTGCTGCCTGATTGTCTTTGTGGTGAGAAAGTTTTTCCTTATGTCAAGTCAGAGCTGCCCTTGTTTCACTTGATGTCAGTTATTTCTTATCCTACCACCACACACAAGCTGGCTGCAGTGCCCAGTAACCTGGAGGGACTGGAAAGCTGCTGCTTTGTCATATTAACCCTCCTAAGCCTTCCCTTCTCCATGTTAGACAAGCACAGTTCCCTCAGCATCTTCTTACAGAGCACATGCCCCAAGTCCTGACCTTCTTGGCTTTCCAAGATTACTCCAGGTTAATGTTTTTCTTGTACTGGGGGAACCAAAACTCAGGGTGCTCTCAATGTGAATTAATTAGAGCCAAGTAAAGGGGGATAAGTGGTTGTCTCAACCTGTTGGCTATGCTCCTGTTCATACTGCTCCTGTTAATGCAGGATGCTGATGGCTTCCCTTGCTGCCAGGCACACTCTGGCTCAGGTACAGCTTGCTGTCTACCAAGTTCCCAGCTCCCTTTCTGCAGAGATGCTCCCCAGATAGGCTACACTGTGAATCATTGTCAACAACAAAACTGTTGTGTTGTTGGAAGGGAAGACCATAAGTTATTTCTTGAGTAAGAAAATCCTTGTGGAAGGAAACTCTTTCCCAGTTGCAGGACTTTGCTTTGCTCCTTTGGTATATAAAAAATAATATGCTGGTCAGCCCATTCCTTGAATTTTTGTTCCAGTGGCCCTGTCTTGGAGTTTACCATCTACTCCTCCTGATTTAGTGTCATCTGCACACTTGATGACAGTGTAGCCTGTTGCCTCTTCCATGTCACTGATGAAGACATCAAACAGGGCAGGTCCCAGCAGGTATCAGTAAAACTCTCCACTTCTTGCCCACTTTCAGGCAGAGTATGGCCCATTACCATTACCCTCCTAACCCATCATGAAACTGGTTTTTAAAAGCACATGTAGTTGTCCATCCATCCAGACTTTAACCTGACTTGGATACAAGAATGTAGTGGAGGATGCATCTGGCCCCAGGGACCCATACAGGCTGAAAATTCTCAAGTAGGCCCTCACTCTGTTCTTTTTCACTTCCATCACTTCATCTTCTCCTTAACCCCTGTCTTTAAATGCAGAAACAAGGAGACTTTGTTGGTGAAGAAAGTTGTGGCAAAGAAAGGTATCTCAGCCAAAGTTAAAGGAAAAACTGTTCCTTGAATGTGTTATGAAACACTGTTCTGTTATGATCAAAGCAAGAAAGTTCAAAAAGCTGTATCATCTTGAAAAGGCCTCATACTGGAACATAAAGTCTATGCACTAATTCTGAATTGGAAATCACATTTGAAAAAGTAAATCTTAACTGCTTTGTAGCTCTTCCCCATCAGAGATGTTGCTGGCAAGTTGGAACTCTTCTGATACTTCAAACCTCACTGAAAGCACAGAGGTACACTGTCATGCAGTTTCCTTTTAGGAAGAATTTTATGTTTGTTTTAACTTGGTATGCTCAGCATGAGCCACTAAACAAACCTATTAATATTGCCAGCTATGGTGCTACCCAACAGGGTGTGGGTCTTAACCATGCAAGCATTCCTGCAGGAGAAAGCCTCTGAGCAATCCAGCATCCATCTAAAAACCCAGTCTGAGAGAGCATTAGCATCTCCCATGCTGCTTGCCAGACAGGAGACAGCCACAGTCTGTCAGCTGGGGAGTGCAAAGAGCAGCAGTTTAGAAGAGAGGGGTCAGTGTGGAACATGGAGCTGTGGGAGGGCTGCTTCTGGATGAGTTAGGCTGTCAGAAAGAAGTCACAGACTAAAAAGCTCAAGCAAGTATTTGCTATGGACAGATTGTTCAGACTTTTATGTATGTTCTGAAGATGCTTTAATTCACTTCCTATGATGGGAAGTTCCTTGGGTACATCTCTGAGTGTTCCTTTTGAATTCACAGATTTTAATCTCATATGAACACTGCTGTGTCTCCTATATTCCTATATCTTGATCCTGGCTAATGATGTCTAATCAAATCACTATCCCAATAGAAATTTACCTGATGAGGTTTTATTACCCACATTTGTATGTCAATGTGATATAAATCCTGCATTTCCTTTTTGTGTCTGGTTGGTTATTGCAGCCTTTATTTCCAGCTCCTGTTTGATCTTCTGGTTTCTACTCATTCCAGTATTGACTTAACCCAGCAAATCTATTTTACTGAGCATATTTACAATCTGATAGGTCAAATAAATTATTAAACAAATGTTTCCCTAACAAACAGACACAATATTCTTGGAACTCCTTTTGAATGCTCATATCTTGTCCTGACTCATAGTTGTGATAGAAAATGCCACCTATCCACGGGCCAGTTACAGCATGAATGTTGTCATAGAGCCAAACACACAACACAAGCAAACAACATGCAAACAATTTAAAAGATCATGATGATATTGAAGGTAGGTACTGATCCCTAATTCCTTGAGTAAGCACATCTCCAATGGAACAAGAACTCTGTGGTCCTGTTCTCCTGCTTGGCATTTAGGATGCTGCTTTCAAGGAGGACAAACAGATATTGTTCTCAGTAACTTCCCTGCTCTGAAACTGGGATATGCAGAACATGCCCAGATGATATTTTTAGGATGGGCTGCAACAGGAGAAAAGTCCCTCCAGAGAGAATTACAGATCCCAGGAACTTAGAACATCTGTAGTACAACTCCAAGTAACTGAGAATAGCATCAGACATATGTGGGCAGCCTGTCTATAAATCTGACAGGCTGCCTGCAGATATCTGGGCTGGAGGCAGCAGGTGTGTCATGCTCTTAGTTTTTGTAAGGCTGCTCTCTAAGAGCTCTGTGGACATACCCAGGATGGCTCAAAGTATCCAAGATGACCCCAAACTAAACCGATGTCTTGATTTTCCTGCCTGTACGATAAGTTAGCATTTCGTACTTAATGCAGACCCCTACCTAGAACTAACCCCCCTTCCAACTTTGATCCCTTTCAAGTTTTGAAATGCAACTCTGATGTCAAATAAATTGCTAAAAGTATAGGAAACGCTGACTTGTTGGAAAATGCCAGTCCTTGATGAAGTTGTTCCTTTCTGGGCTGCAGCCACTGGTAGAAAGGTTGCTATAGCAACAGATTGTGGCATATTAAATATAGGTACATCCATTTTTTAAACTACTATAAAATATTTTGGTTTGCATTCAAATGTAATTTTTTTCATCAAGTTTGCATTTTACCAAAAAGCCACCCTTACCAAAAGACAGTAAATGTTACCATTTAACCACAGTAACCAAATGTCTATTCATGGTTCCTTTCCTGTATGCACTGTAATAAATAGATGCTGTCTCTCACTTCAGGAGAAGCAGAAAGTGTTTTTAACACCTGAACTTCCAACTTGAGTTTCAACAGAGCTAGAATTTGTTGGAGAAGACCATAAGTATTTTTTAAAACAACATAAACCCAAAAGCAAAATCCAAAGCAGTCATCTGAAATCCCTCCAGTAAAGTCACTGTGGAACACAGTATGAATCTGATCCAGAATGAAATATCATCAATAATCATAATTCAAGTTTATGCATAAAACTTTAAAAAATTTGACACCACATGCAAACATGCAGCTAAAAACAACTCCTAAAAGACCCCTGATAAAATAATCTCCAACTCTTTCAGGATTGATAACCTTCTTCATATCACAGTCTCATCAACCTACACATATGCCAAGTGCATATAAAAATAACTAAAACACAAACTCTGAATCTTGAGGGCATGGGAATCATAAAAGACATTCAGAATAAGCAATGTTAGAGGGACAGTCAGCACTGCCACGGATAACCCATCAAACAGTGCAGAATTCAGCCTTAGGCTTCCACTGCTCTGTAGTCCTGAATACTTATGTTTGTTGCTGGAGTGGGATCCGCCTCTGCCTACATGAAGGGAACATCTCCACTGAGTTAAAATGCCAAAAACTGAGCCACATTTTATAGTTAGACTAGACAAGGGAACGTGTCCATTAAACACTATGAACCATCCACTGCTCTTTGGCATCACCACACAGACCCAGATGAAAGGCCCCAGGTGCCACTTGCAATCATGGGTTATGGGAAATTGCTGAGAGCCCAGAACTGCAGAAATGGAGAAAAGAAAATGCATGGACAAAAAACTGCATGCTTACCGGTACCTTCATTTTAAAGTCATCTCGATAGAGTTTAATGCCAATGTCAGCGATTGCCCTTTGGATAAAGCGGGAGGGTCTCAGGACAAACACCAGCTGCAGGTTCCCTGGAAATGCTCCCTGCAAGAAATATAGAATTCTTAGAAGGCACATTTCTACCTTACAAGGGAATTTTCAGCCAAGTGTTTCCTCACCAGCAGGGCAAAGCAGGTAGGGCTTACTGAATCTTGCTCAGTCCAGCTGCTCATCGCCTCAGCTGGTGCATTCAGCATTTGCTCATTGTCACTGTTTCCAAACCCATCAGGAAGACTGACCCATGTATTTTACTGCCCAACAGGAAGACTGACCCACATATTTTACTGCCCACCCACCCACATGTTGTTTCATGATACAGATTTATCATTCCTGACTATTGCCTTTCTCCCCCAGACCCGAATCCCACCAAGTCCCACTTGCACCACCGCACCAGTTTTCCCATTTTTTAGGCTGCAGCCACTAGAGGGCAAAGCTGGCTGCCCACACTGGACTGGTGAGGGAAGCTGGTAGCACAGATGGGTTCCCCAAGCTGACCTACCTATTCACTCTGCAAAGGGTTTTGAATCTTTTTAACCTCACATATTTTTACACACAGGCAGACAGTCAACATGTTCATCAGATATGGCCCTGCCTGCAACACCCAGCCTACATCTCTCACACTCCTCTGAGCTCATCAGGCATAAAAAAAGAACAATTTCTTGAAGAGAGCAGCAAAAAAGCCTGAGAATGAAAAACATTTCTGTCTAAATACCTTGAAAGAACTTAAAGTCGCCTTTGTCATCCCACCATCCTACACCTCTGTGTGTAAGTGCTTGGTCCTCTCACAGTAAATGCTCCTAGTAAGAGATGTATAAAACCAGCTGCTTGTTTTAGCACTGAAAATCAGTGCCCAGCTCTGACTTTTGCAAATAAGCTATTAAGAATTTCTGACAGAGATCATTTACTACTGTGCAAACACAAATCCCTTGGGATCTATTTCTTTCATAAGCAGGCCACGTCATCCCTCCTCAGGGCACAGAAGGGGTACCTCTTAATACTCCTCTAGGAACCAACTTCAAATTATTAGAATTTATATTGCAGTCAACCCAGAAAATAAGGAATTTGTCCTAATTCAGCAGTAAACAAGGCTGTGTAATTTGTCTCTGCAGCTTCCTCCCTCTCTTATTTAACACTTAGGAGCTGCAGAACCAGGAAGAATCTGCATCCACAGCCAGAAAATGGGAGCTTAAAATGAGCAGAGGAGGCTGTATCGTGTGCTGAAGGTTCAGCAGACAATTTTAATTTCTAGAAGATAAATAACAAAAGCAAGCACTTACTGCTATTCGTGTCAGGGATGCCTTGACTGCACTCCATTTGTCCCGTCGTCTGTCTATGATGATGATGAATCCGATGCTGGCAGCCTCCAGACTGCAAAACAGATGAAATAGGTGTGCTGGGTTACAGGGAGACACTCCTGTTCCAAGGCAGAGAACTGCAGCAAAACACAGCCTCCGTCACAGCACGCTCGGAGCCCATTATGAAAACACAACGTACAGTGGAAAGAATGAATATTTGGCAGAAACGCACATGAAAAGGAAAGCCAGCAAAATTTCTCTTTCCAGCATAAGGCTAGCAGCTTACACAAAACATGAATATTTTATCTGCTGAATCTCTCAGCTGCTGTGCTACTCTGCTGCCAGCCTAGGTGACATGAATAGTTCAGGATCACAAATTACGCTCTGCTCTTTTGAAGACAAAACCCCCAGATCTTTTTTTTTTCCCTGCAAAATTAGACACCCCCCTACAGTCTTCATTCTCCAAGTATGCTGACACCTGACAGGGGCACTGAGCTCCAGGGCATCAGTATCCCCTGACTTGTGTACACAGAGCCCCAGGAATTCTGGTAGGCAAAGCAGAAAATGAAGAGTTCTATTTTGCCAATCACAAACTTGTTCTGGGGTTGCAAATCATTCCAAACTATCTTTTTCAACATATTGGCTAGAATAACAGTTCCTGTTCCTTCTCAGTGCTTTTCAAGGAGGATCTAGGAGGCAGTGATTTGGTGCTCCATTCCACCTTTGTAGACTTCCTAAATACCCCATCCTCTCCTTCCCTCTCAAAAATTCCACTCTAGAGTGCCAGGTTTCAGTGGGACTGCTCTTCTCTCTGCCTTCCAAGAGCACTCAGCATTGGAGAAGCTAAGAAGTACACAGTGAGTGTCCAGAACCTTCACTAAAGCAGGATGGCTCAGTCATCTCAGAACAAACCAGAGGAAGGCAGCAAGAGTATAAATGTCATAATCAGAGGACATAGTGCAATCAAACATCTTATCACAGGTTAAGGGAAAAAAATGGTTTAAAGTATCTCCTTGATCCCTATTCCAATGTCCATACAAGAACCAACTCAGGAACTGTTTCCATGGGTCATTTTATCCAAACTCATGTCAATAATCTACTGAAGACTATCAACACAGTAACAACTCTGAGCTCTTGTAGCAGGTCTGCAGGATCAAAAACTGAAAGCCAAAGTATTGTGCAAAACTGGGATGCCATGTGAATGCTCCTAGTAGTTCATACTGATAACAGGAAAACTCACTGAATTTTCCAATGCAGTATTTTTACAGCATCCCTCTGAGGATTTAAAAAATCAATGACAATACATGACCTTTCCTCTTTAGTAGTGCAATATGCAGCTCTCTGCAGAGAACAGAAAATATGTTTGCAGCAATGCCTCTCAAGCATAGGCAAGAGAATTTATCTGGTTTACCTTTTATAAATACACAAATGTATACATACTCTTCAGTAATCTTAGATATACACATAGACACATCCTTCAGTAGCTCAACAAATATTCCACAGAATGAAATTCCTTGATAATGTTCAAATAAAGGCAACAAAGATATTGTGTGTATTGCAGATGGTTACAGAAAGGGTGAGAGAAACTAAACACAAAAGTGTCAACCCGGGCCCTTCATCTTCAAATGATGTTCAGCACAGCATCAGCTGTAGTCACTGAGATAAGCCAATGGTACTTGTATGTTTGCTTTTTGATGTGGAGAGGTTTTTTGTTGTTTTGCATGTTTGTGGGATTGTTTGTTTGGGGGGTTTTGGGGATTTTTTTCTTTTTAGCTAGATAGGACTGACGAAGTCCTAAATTTAACCAGGGAAACAGAGAGAGTGTCAGCAAGGGATCCTATTTCACCAGCATGCTGAAAGGCCATGCCAAGGGCTGAATGTCATTTGGCACCAAGGGATGGATGCAGGCACACAGCCACAGGAAGAGGCTTGGCTGAGATGGCAGCATCAGCACAAGTGGATGTACAGCTGAGAACCCCCACTCCAGTGTGCATCCAGAAAAAGTTTGTTTAGGAACAAACACACACACACATTCTAACAATTTTCTCAGTGTCAGTACTGTAATATCTCTACCCTCATTATGAAAATGCATTGGGGTTTCTCTAGTTCTCTGAAAAGGAGGGTTTGAAGACAATCCTGAAGAGCAGATAAACATCAGGCTTGCCTCCAAAATAAATTCTGTCACATTTGCCCAATCTACAGATGTCTGGCAGAAAGGTTCTCTTTCCCTGAATGAAATATCTGCAATCAGCAGAACTCTTCCATCCTCAGCTCTATATTCAGGTTTGCCCTTGAACACTGACTTGAGATGTTGAATTTCCTGACCTCTTTTGGAAGGAGAAAAGGACATCTGTTTATCAAAGTACTTAATCAATGTCAAGCTAAAGAGAAAGGAATTCTGGCCATGGAATAAAGCAAGTAAAAAAGGGCTTTCTGGAGATATCTAGTGCATGCACAGAAGTATGCATGTACATACATCATGTTACTGAGTGTCTGTGGATGTGTTTGTATGCAGACTCCTTTGGTGGAGCAGTTGAACCACAGGGAAAATGAATCAGGTGACAAAAGTCTCACTGGGCTGATCTTCAACCCTATCATATGTTTTGTCAGATGGGCATATAAGATTAATTATTCCAGAGGGACTTAGAAAGTTACTAACACTAAGTGAAGTTATCTGCATTCACAGAGCTTATCTCCACAACTAGCATGAACATTATTCTACAGGATATGCAAAATCAGACACTATAAAAGACAGATATTCTCTCTACATTTGCCTGGAAAATTATGTTGATTTTTCTGGTTTACTAAGCTCTGAAGAAGGAAGTATATTCTATGATAAATAGGATGAAGTGCTTTTTAAACTATACCTCTTCTTACCTGATACATGGCCATAACTTTGTAACTCCAGAAGAGTTAGAGACTGTTCTCTCTTCTTAGTCACTTTGTTGGATACCTTCACATCTTTCTTGAGAATTAAAGTAAAAGGTGGACAACTAGCAGTGAAATCACACACAGGAATACTCAGGCTATTACACAGGAATACTGTTATATTACACACAGCCCTATCTAGTACAGTAGTGCTGGCAAAAGTAACAATGCACACCCTTTACTGCTTGCTGAGGTACATGGCAGAGACACTGTGTGTATGGACCAGCCAACTGCAGCTTGACAGGGCTCTGCTGCACCCAAACAGATCCACAGCTTGGGCCTCATTGAGTTTGAACCCTACATAATTATGTCATAAATCACACAAAGCTTGTTGCTCAGGTTCTTCTTCTAAATTAACATCTTTCTCCCTCACCATTTACAGAGACAGCGGCAAGTTTCAAATGGTGATTCAAAAAATGCAGGCAGTCTTTCTAAAAGCACTGCAATAAAGTGCAATAAATATCCTGGAAAATTCACATCCCTTCAGTGTGGCCTGTGATGAACCTAAGAGCCAAACCAAGGTGCTGGTATGCAGAAAATGCACCTTGAAACCCCAGCTTGACCTTGAACAGGTCATTTAGAGCAAACTGAGCAGTCACTTACTCAACACAAGTTCTGGTGATCCTGTCTGTGGAGAGAGATACTACTCACATGTATCTCAACATCTGTAAAATAGGTATATCACAGCTCTCCTGACTTACAAAGTTTTGAAACTCAGTCCTTCATTCTTTGCACATGGCTCTGGGATTCCTCAGGGGAAGAGAAGATAGAAGAGAACTGAAACTGTGTCAAAGCAAAGGTCCATCTAGCCCAACACCCTGACTCTAGTGTTGGTAGATAGTGGCTGCTGAGACAAAGGCAACAGGAAAATGAGAAGGACAGTATTTCTCTTTATATATATTCTCCCAAGTCCCAGCATTAAGGAATAAATTAATTTCTTCAGCCTGGTTTGTATTTGAGTCATTGTGTCCAGCTGCCATTGATGGAGCAATCTTTCATGAATTTGGCTAATTTCTTTTGAATGCATCTGTGCTTTTGGGCATCACACAGGCTGCAGAAGCTCAAAGGGTTTCTGTCTGTCATGTTGACAATGTAACATGCTGGTTCCCCACATGTGACAAAATCACTGGGAATCATCTCCCTGCATACCACGTACAAAGAACTGAAAAACTACTTTTATGGTTTTCTCAGCCACTGCTGCTGTTGTACATACCCTGGGGCTGGTCACCCTCCCAGTCCTGAAGGAGTAAGGAAATACTCAAAACAGAGTTTCCCCTGGCTGAACAAAAGTCCCACAGAGCAGAGTGAAACAATGAAGCTGTTAAGTTCATAGTATGTGGTTTCTCTCAGCTTGCTTTGGCAACCCTTTGGCCATGACTTTGGCAAATACACGTAGGTGGAGCTGTAAAACTTCTCACTCAGACTTGAAGGAGGCACATTTTCTGCTATGATCCTCTGAGCACCTTTTTGCAAAAGACCACAGGAAATTATAAATCGTTGCTGTGCTTTTCACTAGTACAAACAGCCATGGTCTAGAGACAGGATCAGGGGACTGAAAAAATTTTAAGCTCTCTTAGATGAACAAAAAATAATTCAGCAGTCAGGACTTAGCGCATTTCCTCAGAGGAGGGGAAGTCAGTTTGTTTCACTATCCTTATAAAGCTGCAGGCAAAAAGCAAGGAAAACATCCTGGCTGTGGAGCAATCTCCAAAGAAATGAAGTGCTTGAAAGCACATGGTGCTTGCCAGAATCCTGTCAGTGGGGCACCTCACTTGCTTTCTCAGCAAAGGCAAAGCTGCACAGCAAGGTGCACTCAGAGAAAAAGCAGCCATGGGGGCTGTGTAAGTATGTCTCCTTCCTGAAGCAGCCCTTCCCTCATTACATCCAGTGCCCCTGAGGCTTCTCACAAACAACCCCTCTTAGCTCCCTTTGATCTGTCACCTTTGCTGCTGCTCTTCAGATCTATTCCTGTTCCAATTCAGTTCAACCTGCCCTGTGTGAAGCTCTCTCTTCCACGACACAATTCCTAGGGCCTCCAGTAGATTAGGGAAGTTTCATAATGACTGAAGACATGCAGAGGCACTGGTATGTCCTGGTAGCACCACTAAAATCAGTGAGCCATTGGGGAAGCAAAACTCTCTGGGAAATCAACAGAAATTTGTGCTTAGTCTCACCTGGGAATGCTGGTTAGATAAGTGACCACGTTCAGAAAATCATCATCAGGTATCTCACTGAATCCTGCAAATTCTGGAAAGGTTATAATGGGTGCCCCATCCTTCCCTCTTCCTCCTGAAAAAAAAAGAAGTCAAAGTTTAGAAGGTGATTTTATGACTTTGGACAGACTGGTCAGTACTCGAGTGGGAAACACTGGCATATTTGTCCTTGTAAAGCACCCACATCCAGTAATCATCAGCGGCTCCAACCACACAGAAGTTATCAGGGGTTTTCTCACCAGCTTGGGCTCAAAGCTGAGAGCAGACTGAGGGGGCAGCAGCACATAAAGGAACACGATGAAACAAAGCTTTTGTTACAGGTACCTTATTGCTTAGATCTCCTTAAACAGGGTATTAAGGATATTTTCCCTGAGTCTTTCTCCTTTCTCTGCAATTTTTATGTAAATCTACTTTTTGGACCAGGCTCAGGAATTCTCTAACAACCCAGTACTGAGTGTATTTCTGCTGCAGACACAGTTTTCTGAGTCATTCATCACACACAGAGGACTCTTACCCAAGAGACAGCCAGTTTCTGGGCTTCTCTTTACTAAAGAGGAAGCTGTGAGACAGTAAATTACCTTCCTCAGGAAAATATCCAATAAATGATCCCATTAGGAGCATGGGAGTGGGGGGGGGGGGGGGGGGGAAGCCCATTCTCATTCCTTGAAAGCACCCTCTAAAACCCCATAAATAATCCCTGTTTCCAGGCTGCTCCCTTCCACCATTGCCTTTCCCTGTTGATAACCACAGCTGATGCCACAAACCAGTTTCTCCAGTAATTCCTGGCTATTTCTCTGTAGAGTGGACAGTCCCTTGCTAGTCCTGATCCTGCCTCTGCCCTATCCTCACAGCCTCAGTTGGATTATTTAAAATCCTTTCTGGCCAAGGAGAGCTGGAATGCTGTGGAATAAAATGTTTGCACAAGGTAAAACTCAGAGCTCTAAAAGATAGGAATTTTGAACAAGGAAACCCTTTTTCTTCTTGATATCTGGTGACATGGTATCAGCACGTTACCTTCAGCCCCTCTTTTCCTTTGGTTGGTTATTACTTTGATTACATCTGAAAATGACTCAGTTGTGTGAGAACATTCAGTAAACTCACCTTGCTAGGGAGAAAACAGGCCTACAGAGACTCAAAAGTGTCTCAGCCAAGAGGGAAAGCAAGAAAGCCATTATTCACACTGCACTGAATTGGATTTCAAATGCTGAGCAGAGCCACAGCCTGCACATTAACCTCCCCACTGGCCTTGGGGTGATGCCAAATGCTGATGCATGGCAGCTGGGCCTCCAGCTGCACTGTCTGCAGTCAGCACTGATGTAGAATATGCTGCCTTGCAAGTTTGGTCAGGCTTTCCCCAGACTGCTGCACTCTAGACCAGCAGGTACCCAGTTAGGCTGGTTTGCTACAGATTCTCAGTGACATCTCCTGGACACAAACAGTAATAGCCAGGAAAATTTAATACCAAATTTGTCTGCTGTCTCTTTGTGTAAAGCTCAGTGTGTGCCAAGGTATTTCATACTTGGTATCTTGTGAGCATTCACAGGATTTCTGGGCACCAAACTTTCTCATTCACATATTTCAAGTATGTGAATATACTTCAAATGAGGAAGATGCAGTAACTTGGAATATTTTGGTTTAAAGCAGCAATATTTGCCACTGGAGGATAAGGTAGAGATTCCCCTGGATTCCCTACTTTTAACACTTGATAATTTATTTGCAGTTATACTCAAGATTTGTTCAAACTACACATTTCAAAGGGTACTTCTAATGCTCCTGCTAATGAGGAGCTCTGTGTTCCTTTTATTTCATCTCCTGCATCTCCATTCACACATGTGCTCTTCTTCCCCTGGCCTCTTCCCTGAGCTGGATGAGGCAGGCTGGTGATGCACTCTATGTATGTGGGTGTGTATTTTTGTCATGGGATCTTCTCCTATAAAAAGCCATCTAAAAAATGAATGTAAGCAGACTGAACACTGACTTCCTTTCACCACTGACAACAAATCTAGGACACTTAGGAGCAGCCTCAGACTGAACATTCAACTAAGAGTCAGCAGCTCCTGCCTCTGCCTCAGCCACAGGCCCTTTACAGCTCCTGATCTCCATCTCATTCTCCAAGGTGAAGGCAACACTTCCTGCTGCAGCCACACCAGAACCCTCAGATGGTTCAGCAGAGCTGTATTTCAGACAGGGAAATAAACAAGGAAACCTTCAGTTCCTGCCACGCCAGGAAATTAGGGGGAAGTTTGAGGGAGTTTGGTATTCACAAATTGTTAAGTGCTATGATGAGAAGAGAGCAGAAATGTGTAAAGTGTTGAGTGACAAGAAATACCACAAATATGTTACAAATGGGTTTTTCCTGCCCATATCTGAACTTCAAGCAGTAGGTGAGTTATATAGGAAAATTATCTATATCCATTTGGATAAGGGATATAAGGGAAGCTCCTTAAATACCAAGGGTGTCTGGAAAACTCTCTCTTCAGTACAAGAGAGCAATTTCATACATCTAAATGTTAATGCCATTTTTTTCCTGACACTAATCCAAGAATTGCTGCAGTATGCAAATTTCTGCAGAATGTGGATTGACAAGCTGCAGCCCTTTTTCCTCGACCATCAACCTTTCTTTCTTTCTAGGGAGTTGCCACAAGATTTTTTCCAGTTCTTGAAATACTTTAGCTAGATACTATTCAGAGTCTTGAAAGGGCAGACAGCACAAACTAAAAGCCAACAGGGACAGTCCCCAGTCAGCACCATAGCCATAAGGACTGAGCACATGGAATTTGTCTTTTATGAAATTTAGAAGAGATAGCACACCACCTGTATGAAGATTGTACAAGGTACCCATGGTAATGGGGCCTTCACTAACTCTCAGGTGTGTCAATCTCCAAAGTCCCAGGACACAGAGCAGCATTCATAGCTGCTCCTATTGGACAGACTTTCCAGCAGCCAATGCAGCCTGGATAGCTGCTGCAGTGAAGATGGGGCCAGAAGAAAACAGCTGAAGTATGTGGGGAAGGAATACATGTGGGGCAGAAAAGGTTATGGCAGCTGAGAAAATTTAATTTTGCTTTGCAGTGTAAAGGGTGTGATTGACAAATGAGGTGTGAGTGCTGAATTCTGAGAGCTCTCACAGCTGAATCTGTATGTTGGTATGACTGATGTAAAAACAGAAAGCAACCACAACTGCAGGCCAAGGCCCTGAACACAATGAGGATCTTAGACAATCTCCCACTCCTCAGTTCCAGCCCTCCCATGCTTCCCACCCAGGCACAAAAAATATCCATGGTTGAGACAATAAGGGGCTACACTGAAGTCCTGTTCTATAGCCAGCAGCTCTTCTAACTAGAGATCACCAAATGTGCTGACTCCCTTGGGAAATAAAACCAAAACAAATGAAAAGCACCAGCCCAACAAAGGGGCTATAGTCAGGAGAAGTTCCAAAAGTTAGTCTGCAAGTTTCCAGAGCTCACCTCCCCAGCCTGCCACAGACACTAACTCATCAGTTTGTACTGGAAAGTGTTCTCTCAACGCTGCTGATGTGTGCAGCCTTAACTGCTTGGGCCTGCCCACATGCAGAGAGCTCCCTGAGTCCTCACAGCCCAGCCCTGACTACAGCTCATCTCCTGGGTCAGACAGCCAGAAAGTCTAATGATACCTTGGCTAAGTTTCACTGCTTTGGTCAAGTCTTGCTTTTTCCAAGCTCTGTTGTTTTGGTTTTCCATGTTGATTAAGAGTTGTGAATGATGAATTTCTCATTAAATCAAGTTTCCTGGGTCTCAATTTTTATAAAAGATCCAAACTGTCCTTTTGGCAAGGTCAGGCCAGGTTTTCCAAAAGGCTCAGTTTAAACAGGAAGCAGATGGCCAAATACCCTCTAGGCTTTACAAATTAAATAAACTGGCTTCTGAGTCAGTTACCGTTTTCAGATATACTCTCCCATCCACTGAAGTCTGTTAGCAGGAGCAGAACACAAAGAAAATTATTCTCTCTGCTAATACATTTCGTGACAGTTTGCCTAATAAAGTCGTGATTTAGCAACATGATCCATTATTGCTGCAAATGGCAGATTGGGCTCTTTGACAGAGTAATTACAGATAAGAACAGGTTGTGAAGCTGCAGATAAAAAAGTGGGGGGTGGGAAGGAATGGTAGCAGTTCCAAAAGCAGATTGGTACAGCAGGACAGACAGAAAAAGTATTTTAGTAGTGGTTCTTTATTCTTGAGTAAAAACTGGTGTGTTAGAATAACCAGGCTGTCAGTACTACTCAACTTTGTGATCTAGTTCCCTTAACAGCTACAGGAAACACAAACCTAGCTGAGCACTCTGTGTTGTCACAGCTGTAGTCCATTAACTGAGAGCTTGGTTTTCAGGGAAAGGAAAGAGGCAGTAGTGATATCAAAGCTAGAATTTAACCACAAGAACCAGTGCTCCTATCAGATCTCACAAGCTAAGCAGGGCTAAATCAACACATGGGAAAAGAGATGACCGAAGTAAAATTCCATGATTAAGGACATTGCCACATTACACTGCAGCCTTTTCCATGACCTCAGCAGACCAGGGAAGACTTTGGAGAATTTCCCTGTTCTTGGCATGGACTAAGGTCTTGATTAGTCTGGTAGGTGGAGGACCAGGACAAACAGGAGGCTGTCAGCAGGTAATACATTCATTACGACTAGACCCTGACACAATCAAACACCCAACTCATCAGACTTGTTATATAATTCCTACCATCTGCTCAGGGACCACAAGACAGCCAGATCCTCTTAAGAAGTTTGCACACAGCAATAGTGGAGAGAAGTGTTCCTAATGAGTCATGTCCAGAGAAAACAAAGAGCCTTTGATTCAATCATTTTCCCCTTTCTTTTCTGCTTTACTGCAAGGAAACATTGTGAGTTCACTGCATCTGTCTCAGCTGCCAGCTGTAACTAAAAGGGTGGTATTAACTAAAGAAATACTCATTTATGACAAAGTTTACAACAGTGAACCAACCACTGACTTCCATTATCACTGGACAAATGCATTTGGGGTCCACAGGACTGAGCAGGGGAGCTTGACAAAGCCAGAGGCTGTGGAGTAACACAAACCAGAGTCAGTGCTGCATCCTCTGGGCTCTGCACAGGCATGGGAGAGGTGACTGGCTGTGCTCTGGGGGCTGCAGCCTCCAGACTGAAAAAAATAACCCCATCTAGTATAAATCAGTGTATACCCCTGTTAGGAAGTTGTTCAGAGAAACATAATTTATGTGCACAACGCTCTACAAAAACATTGGAATTGCCTTTTACTGCCCAAGATGGTGACACCAAAGAACAGAAGGGGTTTTTTTTTCCCAGACAGTGGCTACTGAGCTGCAATATTTCAATATGGGAAACCAGGAATAGGCTAAGTAGCAAATTTTCAGCCACCATGTAGGCAAGCACTGAAGCACCAAAATATTTGTGGTTGCTGGTACCTAATGAAAAGCAGCTAACAGCATCCTTTGAGGAAAAGCTACAGAGCCATCTGGAAAAAAAATCTAAATCAAATGAGGTCATTTACATGTGAATTACTTTAATAAGTGAAATGAGGCAGAAGAGTGCCCAGTTTTGTCTTCATTGCAGGAAAAAACCCAATCTTTTGCTAAAGGAAAAAGAAAGTACATTATTTAGAGAAATGCATTTTTGAAAAGTATAGTAATGTCTGGCTTGCACCTAAAGTTCTCTTTGCAGGAGGCAATAGAGAGAGTGAGGAAGATTCCTGCTATGTTTTACCTATGACTCACCAGTGGTCACCAACAGAATAAAACCAAAGGGACTTCTAAGCCTTCCTTAACTTCTTCACATGCTGCCATGGGGGTCTTGGAGTGGAGGCACCCAGGTTTCCAAATTTATCTGTAAACTTCAGACTAAAATCAACTTAGAAACTATGAACTACACTGCCCTGTTTTATAGTGGGATACTATTTCTGGACTGTACTGAGGAGATTTTGGATAAACCTGAAAATTCTTAAAATGAGATTTGTTATTTAAGTAGATGGGGGCATGAAAGACACCTTCTCAATTTCCTTTGTTATTTGTTATTAGTATTTCTATGTGGATAAACCAGTTATTTGCTGATTCCTAACAAACAAGCCCCTCAGCCTTGCCTTCTATGAAGAGTTATTTTTCAAGTCTTTAAGCAGCTCACATTTCAACAGCCTCATTTAAACACCTTTCTCATCACTTCCAAGAATAAAAGAATTAGATAAATGTGAAGAGTTGAATTTGCTAAAATAGCAGGTGAGAATACAGGCACTGCTGAAATTATGAATCCATAAAGAAATATGAAAATTCTTTTTTTATGTCTACCCTTGACATTTTTATTCCTTGTTTAATGTTCTAGCTGGAATTGGAAATGGGTTTTTTTCTTCCTGTTTAGTAAACCACTTTCCATAAGTTGCTCATTACATGCTGTATTCAGCTTTTGCTATTGGTCCCAAATGTTGCACGGTAATGGAATTCAAAAATAGTAATCCTCCACATTTTACTGGGTAGGCAATTGCATATGAGGCACTCAGTTCTCAACAATTCCTAGGGTTTGAGCAATTTAATGCAGTTCCAGACCCTGTCCTGCCCAGAGGGGTGTGCTCATCAGGAATTCTGGGAAGGTGGGACCCCGAGATGTTTTACTGCAGATGAGAAGGCAGTTGGTTCCATCTCTGCTCAGTCAATACCCTCTACCTATTGCAAACCCTTTAGTTATTGAGCTTAGGAAACTGCCACAAGATCCTACCTGCAAGCATCCAAAATCAAGTTTTGATACTCAGAGCCTCATAAAGAATTCTGTGTAAATTAGATTTCAATTTCTTTCCACAAATGTATTTTAAAATACAAAGACAGAGCAAGAAGTTGGCCTGCTGAGTTGACCATTTCCAGAGCTGAGTTGGTGCACTCTGTGCACTCTATACCCACCAAGAGGGACAGGCTTTCCAAGAGGACCTTCTTATGATCTCAGAATTTGTGCAAAATCATGACATTTCACTGTTTCTATGAGGAATATGATCAGCAAATTCTGAATTTTCTTATTTGCAGAACAGACAGAAATAGAGACAAAAGGAGTTGCCAGAGGCCATGCAGTCAACAGCAGAGACTGTTTTAGGACCTAGATAAGATTTTATCATCTACAGTATCCAAAATAATGAATTAAATAATTTGCCAAATATTTCAGTATCAGCTCTTTCTTTGGGGAAGGAACTGCGTCACTTTGTGTGATTGCAAATTTCAGGCAAACAAAAGACTATGTAATAATCATATCTTTTAAAGATTAGAACCTTACATTTTAGCAATGAATCATTTCTAAAACAAAGGCAAATGAGGAAGAAGGGGGAGGTCATGAATAGATCCCTGATAGACCAAAATCTTTTCCCACAAACAAGATGCTTGGACATTGTGCAAAGATATGTAGTGAAAGTTTTGTTTAATTTCTTGCCCTCTAAATAGGTTCCTCCCAGCCCATTGTGGAGAACATGGAAAATTAACTTGCCTTAAAAAAGCAATTACAGCAGCTTGGCACTTTTCCATTCCATACACCATGAATATCTGACTGTAGCAGCATTTCTCAGGAGCAATATGAAAATACTATTGCAACTGCTGTACAGAGCTGAAGGGTGACAGACAGCATGACACATTCCAGTATGTCTCCAAGAGAATCACAGAGTGTCATTGCCAGCAACTTCTTACCTGACAAGATTGCAAATTGCCTGTGGAGCTGCTCTATTATATCCACTGCTACCAGCGGCCGTATCTCCTGCTGCATGATTTCATCTGTGCAAGGGAAAACAGAAATCTTCCGTGAGTTCATAAAGCCTCAATGACAATTTTTTCCTCCTTTAACAACCCAGCAAAACAAAGATGACACTCCAAGCCTAGCCAGACTATTGCCTGAGCTATTATATGACTGTTGTGGTAAAGATTATGGTACTTACAGAGTCTCCTCTTCAGCCTATTAACTTCATCCATTGCCTTGTGATTTCAGAGAGAGCTTTTCATAAACCAGCTCCAGCGGATTTGCCAGAGCTTGCCACAGGTTTGCTCAAGCTGACAGCTGCTCCTCACCACTTCAGGTTCCATATTAAGTCACTGCATTTGGCCTCCCACTACAGCAGTTTTTCAGTCTTTGAAGCAGTGAAATCTACTCCACATACATGGCCCTGTTCCACCCTGAACTCCCCGAGCTCTGCTGGAGGACTTTGTGTAGCCAGCCAATCCACAAGAGTTTCCTTTCCCGATGCTTTTTCCGCTACAAGCGAATTCATAGTAAAAGGAGGAAATCAGGGGCTGTGAGACTTTCTTCTCATGAAAACAAAGCCTGTTATTTTAACTAAGCCTGTTAGTTTAAACACTAAAAAGTTAAAAAGTAACTTGGCAAGCAGCTGGGCAAAAAATGACCTCAATTTTTGTGTGTGATCTATGGAGTGAAAAGCAATTATAGTTTCACATGGAGCTAATTTGATCTCTTTTTGTAACAGGTGCACCCAGTTATTTTCCCCACTTTTCACACCAATCTAAAGCAGCAACATTTACAAGAAATATCTGCCAACTTAACTGGCAGGATCAAGGTTTATGTTCTAATGACACCTATTGGAACTACTCCTTTAGCCACTGTACAGAACAAGTACCAGTCCTGGTATTGTACAGATCACCTCTAAGTACCCAGACAGCAGGTGGAAGGAAGGAGGCTGGGTCCAGATAGACCACAGACCTCTCAGAGACTTGCCCAGCCCTCCAGGGTAACAAACCTGCCAGTAGTTGAGTTTTTGTTTGATGTTTGCCAATGTGAAGACATCATTAATATTAACCAGTCTTGAGCAAAACAGAAATTCCACCACCCACCCAACCCCTATTTAGCTTTATTAAATTGCTCTAAACATAGCTTGGTTTCTGATTTCTAAATATCCTTTTTATTCAGAAGGTTTTTGTGATGTAAGGATAAGATGAAGCAAAAGAAAAAAGAACTGCAGGGTGCCAGTTAGTTCTTATCAAATCCCCTGCCTGGGCAAGGCAAACCTCATGGGATTGCTGTAAAAGCCACACTCAGGAGGAGATGCTCAGATGGTGAGAAAGGTGGTATAAAACACATTTGGTGACTAGGAATCACACATCCAATAAGTCAGTACAGTTCATACACTGACATGCTGGGAAAAGCAATTGCAGCAAAAGAAACTAGCAGGGGACAGAAAATCTGAGAAAAGAAGGGAAGGTGCCTCACAGCCCAATGGGCAAATCAGATCATGTGGCTATGAAATGTCAGCAGTGTAGGCACAGCACTCAAAGTCCCATTTGCACTTCCTCTAGGACAATGCTTAAAGGTATTTACTCCCCAACATGGAAGAATTTGTAATACCATCACAGCATAGACCTTGCAGTAGAAGTCCCAGTCCTTGGAAACATGATTGACTACCTGGGGCTGCTGGAGGAAGGTTTTAATCTTTAGCTAGAAGAAAAGCTTGAAAAAAATCTTATAAGCAAACAAAAAGACACAAGTCTGGGTTTGTTTCAAAGCTATGACATTTGCCTAGCACCAGTGAGCATGAATCATTTATATCTTCCACTGGCTTTATCCCAGGAAGCTCTGAAGCCTCTCTGGTCTGAACTGCAAGCCAGAACGCAGCAGGAAGTGCTGCTCACCCTCCTGGGTAGAAGCAAGGCACCATTTTTCTGTGGGACTGATATTCCAGCTGAGAAACCCCTTCTTCAGGGTGACATGAGCTGGTATTGAGCTGACAGCCACAGGTTCATAGACACTTCAGAAAAACTTACTGATGACAGGCACATTTTAACACTACATGGGGCCAAGGGGAAGGTTTCAGGAAGCTGAAAAGCTGCAGGAACTTGACAAGTATCTTGTTTCATAGCATCCCTTGCTAATATCTACAGAGGATATTGGACAGCTCCTGGTCACTTCAGAGCAGTCCTGTCCTCTGATAAAATCTGCATTTCTATAGGCATGCAACTCAAGATCTTATGTCTGCAACATATTTATTTTGGGAAACTTGACTCAGACATTTCCCACCTTCTGTGTGATTGCTCTTGTGGTCTTGTGGTCTTCACTTTTTTTTTTTTTTTTTGAAGAGGCAGTTATTCATAGCCTCTGAAATTTCAAAAAGAAAAATTGAATTGTTTGGTGTTACATGAAACAATGCCAATCCCCTACACGGGTCACCAAAGATGAACATTTACATATACCATACAGTTCTTCATTACTTGAATTAATTGAATTTGTCAGGACAATTTAAATATGAATAAGGATGTGATAAAAGAGGAAAAAAAATAAAAGAAACAAGTCAGTTCATGTACTCTTGGTTCTCCTCTTAAATTACTATAAATTAAATTCCTGGCAGAGGCCAGTTTCAATGCAGAAGAATAAGGCCTTACAGTTTTGCTTCCCAAGGTTTTCTACCAAGGGGGAGGAACAGAAAAGCAATTACTACAGCCATCTGTCTGGCACAGCTTCTCCTCCTTCCCAGCTCTCCAGGGAGGCTCACTGCAACTGTGCTATCTGATCCTCAAGGGAAAGCCATTCAGTTATGCTTCATAATTCCTCATTCAACAATGCAACCTGCTTGGGCTTGCAAAAAACACACTCATTCTGTGTCTCATCCAGCTCTGTGTGCTCCCACAGCAGGTCTGGAGGAGCTACACCAACAGCAGATGGTTAAAAACAACAAAGAATATCCCCTTGTTCTTTCCTCTCTTCTCTGAACAGACACAAACTAGTTTACATGCTAATGGCAACTAATTGTTTCCAACAGCACTGGAAAGGTGACCCGTTGGAGTGAGGGACTGGACTGCACCAACAGATTGACACATCAGTGCCTGTTGCTCCACCAAGGACAACAAAAGGCCACCAGCCACACCAGGACATTGGGGCTTCTTTGCTTTGAGTGGCTGGAGGCTACAACTGCCTGGCCTTCTGCTGATGTAGGAGAGGATGGCTTCAATCCCCCATCTGAAGCCACTACTCTTGGAATAATGGGCTACAAATTTCCAGAGCAAAGTTCATGTCTTCTTAATGACAGCCTAATATGTCATTCACAGTGAAAGAAGACAGCTGACAGTGAAAGAAAATCTTTTCTAAAATAGTCAAGTACATCAGCCTACTTCTACTTTGTGCAAGCTCTGTCAAAAGTTATGCTCAGAGTTCTCATAATTTTTTTTGAGAAAAATCAGATTGCTGATGTGGTGGAAAAGGGTCAGGCAAGATTAAGCATCAGGTTAGATATTTCATTTTAAGAACGTGAAAGCCCACCTTACATTATGTGTTCTTATGCTCTTTAGAAAGTTGGAATCCAAAGTTTGATCCAAAGTTTGAAAGTGGCAGAATTCCTACAGTCCAGAACTTCTGCCAGGTTCTGAATCTGCTTTGCTTCCACCAACAACAGCCAAGTCTAGCAGAGCTAAGTTAGGTTTCAAGAATTAAACACATTAAGGGAACAAATTTGCACATTTGACTGATAAGGTTTAAGCAGGCTAAAGGATTTGAAAATATTCTGTCCCACCAGAATTCCCAGTTCAAGTCCTTCAGCAAAACATTTCCCTTTTTGAAGGTCAAAAAGAACTTCAAGGTTATTACATCAGAGAAAGAATCTCTTAGTTTGGAATCCTTTTTTAAAATTTCTATTTATTTTTCTTTCTCACCCCTTGTTTACTTTCTGAAAAGGTTTGTTTATTCCCTCAGCCCAGGCAGACAAACAGTGAGGTCAGTTACTGATGCAAGCTGCTGTGCTACAAATTGTTCTAAAGAGGAACTAAATATCTAGTTATAAACAGAAGGGAAATCTCATCCTTTCTCTTATTCCTCTGCACATTCCTGCCACCTCTTTTTTTGCTCACCCATGTTGAGTCAACTGAAAACTAAGCCAGGAATAACATTATTGTAAATAAGGTGAAGCATCATTTCCTCAGTGATTGCTTCTGATCTGGGTTAGCTCTCTGCAAAGCTGCTTGAAGGGTACAAGTGCTGGTAATGCATAGGAGGGGTGGTAAAGCCAGGACTGTCCTTCCAGGAGAGAATCACCTCTTGCCTTAGGTCAGCTTAGGGCAAAAGCCAAAATGAAGCATAGGTGACTGGTATCAACTTCTCTCTCAGATCAATTTTTCACCAAGCACAACTGTAAAACCTACAAAGAGTATTTGTTTAAAAGCAATTTTTCTTCTCATTAAAGCCAAGTTTCATAGCAGAGTTTGGGAGCCGTCTCCCAAAGACTGAATCTTTCCAAAATGTTTAAGTAACTCTTGGTCATGTTTGGAAGTATCTGTTTCAGTTGGTGGAATTTTAGTTGCAACAGCAACCCAGTTTTGTGTACACTTAGATAGTAGAAATCTGGAGAAGCAAGGTTAGGAGCAAGATCCTGTCTTGACTGATGCACTGCCAGCATGTTCCAGCCCCTTGAGAAGGGGACAGACTGAGGCCATGGTGTGGAAGGAACTGCCTTGCAAATTTTCCCAAACAATCTCCATGAAAGGTTAGAAATGCACCTTTCTCTGAAGAGCTCAAAAAGCTGTGAGTCCCAGTGTCTACCTGGGCAGAAGCTGAACTGGTGCCTGATGTGATTTTATTTTCTGTCACACAGCAGATGTGCTCTGAAGTTTTCTCCTCCTGACATCACACTGAGTCATGATTGGTATTTTCAAGGCATTCTGTGCAGTTTAATGATGGAGGTACAGCTTTACCTGAGCCTGCTCTGCAGGCACATATTCCTGCTGATTTTAAGTCTTTCAGGGAAGACTGTTCAAATTCTTCGTATTACTGTATTTTTCAATTA